ACTTTCAATATTAACATTACAAGAGAAAAAAACTTTTAGGATGAGGACTAACCAGTATGTTTGACTTCATGCTGTCTATGTAATTATTGATGTCATATATATATATATATTTCCTGACATACATTTATTGTACACGGTTGCAAGCTGCCAGCTTTCAAATGCACAGTGAGCTATAATCAGCTAAAAAAATATATAGTTCTTTTATCTCTTCCGTCTGCTGAGACAGATCCTGAACTGAAGCAGTTGTGTTTTGATTTTTTGACATTCCTTGTTTCTTCTTGTGTAGCTGTATTCTCTCGAGGGATTGCTCTGTGTTTGTCTGCTGTTGCTGCTGTGTTTTGCTGTGGCTTGCAGTGGTACTTATACTCAGCTTGTGTGATAGTTCGATGTGTAAATTTGAGCACGAGTGTGAGCAAGTGTGTAAGACCTCATCTCTGTTATTCTTCTGTTCCAAGCGCTGATATGGGAGCAGACGATGACGACATAAAGACATGCCTCCTGGGGTACATCCCAGTTTCTGCATCACCTGTGTGTTTGTCCCAGATAGGACTTGTGAAATACAAGGCTACAGAGAGCTGATGTTCTCATTAGAGAAGATTCATAAGATTACATAAAAGGAATTGTCTTTGGAATCCTTAGACGTTATCGGGGATGTCGAGAGAAAAGGAACATTTCGTCTTTGAAAGCATGGTCTGAATGAAATGAAAGATTTTTTTCCAGCCCAGTTGATGCAACAACAGAGTAAAAAATGCAAGAGTGCTATTTGGAGTGAATATTAAAATTTTAAAAGTAATGGGTGTTCATAGAAGAAAACGGTTGTTGTGTAACATACATTCTCCATCCTTCCTCTTCATTTTCCTCACCGTGCTTATTCTTTTCTTTTTTCCTTCCTCCTCATTATGTAGAATGTTTTCGCTCACTCCCTAAATCATCTTCATCATCATCAGTGTTGTGGAAGTGTATTTATTCTACAGATAAATGTGCACATACACACACAAAATCACAAATAAACACACAATATAGCCCAAATATATTTTTTAAATGTTTTGTTTGCTGTATGTAGGCCATGAAGGCTTTTGGGGCTTTGAAGGCTTTAAACCTGCATGATCCTTTAACCATGTGACACTAATGAGTGTAAAGCTTTGAGCTTGCAAGATCACGGGCAAAGACTATCATTAACTTCACTGTAGGCAAATATAGCAGTTACACAATGGCACTCAAGAAGAGATATCAATATCACAGGGATACGTAATATTGACATTTCACTTTATCTGTGTTAGTCACATAAAAGTAGAGGGCTTACTACAGTCAAAGAAGGAAAAACATGACTTGATGCTCTGAGCAGCAGAGTAAGAAATCTGCCAAAGGAAGAAAGTACTAAGAGAGAGAGAGAGAGGGAGGACTGCAGAGCGTTCAATAAGGTTTCAGAACAGAGGGTTCTGGTTTAGTGAGAGTTTCATCTCCCAACTGTGTTATCAGGTAGGGCCGATCTTTGCCTGGCTCCAGTCCAGAGGATCCTGGAAGCACCGAAATATGTGCATCCAATCTATGTGAGAGAGAAAGAACAGTTTGTGTGTGTGTGTGTGTGTGTGTGTGTGTGTGTGTGTGTGTGTGTGTGTGTGTGTGTGTGTGTGTGTGTGTGTGTGTGTGTGTGTAGGGTATCTCATTGAGCTCCATTCAGCAGAGCCCCCAGAGCAGAACGTACAATATATGTCAATGAATTATTGATCACTGGCGGGTTCTTTTTTTTATCCAACCTTTTTATTAATTTATTTTCATCTGCATGGGAGTTTTGTAAAGCGGTTGAGGAAGGTCAGCACACTTATGACAGGAGATGCAAATGGTCAAACATTTTAACCCCTTTGAAGCTACATATTGTATGTCACATTTGGAAACAAATGTTAAATCAAATGCAAGTGCAAAGCCAGATCTCTGGAGTTAACTGCAATTTTCACACCATTCCTCTGCTCTTTATCCCACTGCTTGACATGCACATTAAAGATGAATTCATAACTGTGAGGAAAATATTTTATGCACAGTTTGAATCCCCTGTTTGACAGCTACCAGGTACTGGTGAAAAACCACAGGAATAATTCTGCTTCAGTTAGAGCATTCATCTTTGCTGCAAATTACATGTGTAACGAAGCAATCTATTCATGCTTCCATGTATCATTGATTCACGCGCCCCTGGTTTCAGCTTAAAGCACACGTGTGAGCTTCAAATCTCATGCAAGGTTTTTGTAGGTTGGGCTTATGTGCAGTGCTAAGATGTTACAGTTTACTTCACAGTCACTGACACATTCATGGTCTTCAAATCAGATCAAAGGAAAAGAAGGAAAGAGAAAATATTAGGTATAACATCCTCTTGATTTCTCAACTTCAAATTATTATTCAAGTTGTCTTTTCCCTGTATTTCCTTTTTGAAGTTTGACACGTCATGAGTTTTACTTGCTTTGACTTCTAAAGTAAACTGTGAATTTGCATATTTCCTTCACTTTAATTGGAATCCCCCCTTGTGAACGTTCTTTGCCTTCTTACTGACATCTTTGAAGGTTTCATTTTGTCATTAAATCAGTATAAAGGGATGGCTTGTTAAAAAAAAACTTTCAAGGTGCATCTCGTTTTAAATTCAGACATGGGCTCCTGCTGAAAGCTTTTGTCTCTGATGTTTGTCCTTGTATTTATTCTTAACTTGGCACAGCAAAGGGAAGGAAAAGAACGTCAAGGGAGTGAAAGACAAGTAAGTCAAAAATTGTGTGGCTCCTTTTGTTAATTTCCTAGAATTTTCAATGAGTCTTCTCTTTATTGGTTTAAAATCCCTGTTCTTGTGCAGAAGACTTGATTTCCTTTAACCTCGACTAGATTGTTTCCACAACCAAATTGTTTTAGTTAAACCACACTTAGATAGACTTTAACTATAGAAAGCCATTCATGTGAATAATTTTTCTTAAGATAATGTAGGTAATTTTGGAATAGACTGCTGCTTAACGGGATTTGGTGGCTGATGATGGGAATTTCTGTTGAAGTAATTATGATCAAATCAGAACTCTTAACAGAACTCTGGTCAAGAGAGAGCTGCAGATTGTTAATTCGGCTTGATTGATTTGAGTCTATGACAATGTTTTGCTTGAATTCTCTCGATTGACTCACTGTTAGCAATAATCTGTTCACACTGTCAAATTGTAGGTACAGTACTCAGTTTGGTTCCTTCAAGGTTAAGCAATTAGTTTAAGTTTTAGTGTCAAGTTTATAATTCTGTGTAGGTAAGGTTAGTGTTAAGTTTAAGGTAATCCCAAGTATAGTTGTACAAGATCAAATATTAGTTTGTGTGTGGCTGCAGAGGGGTAAAATAGGGTGAAATTGAAGTTCATGTCAGTTTGTCATGAACTCTGAGGCTGTCCAGACGCACTTCAACTACAATCTTCTTTGGTGTTGTATCGAGCCCAGCCTACTCCATCCTTCCCCTCTACCTCCACCTCTCTCACGGTCTCTCTCTCTCACTCTCTATCTCTTTCTCCCCCCTCCTCTCTCCTGCATCATCCACTCATCTGTCCAACTGTTATCTGCCTGGCTGTTCTGGACTATCTGCACCCAACAGGTGAAAAATATGGAAATATAGATCAAATAGAAAGAAGCTTTGGGAGGAATCTTGTGGGGTGGTTTTATGGTGATCTCACCTCTCTGTGGAGTTGAGTAGGATCAGTGGTGTCTTTCATGTGGTATGTATGAAACACATTTTTTCACACATTGTGTGTGTCTTTTGTCTCTATCTAACTGTTGAATCATGGATTGAATGAGGCAAGGAGGTGTGATGGATTTTTGGAACATCTGAACTTTCAATCATTTTCATGATCAAAAAATTGCATTTTTAATTAGTCGATTTAAGTGTCTAGTCTATAAAACGTCCAAAAATATGAAAATATGCCCATCATAATTTCCAAAGTCCAAGGAGACTTTTTAAAATGCTTGCTATTTTCTGTGGAGTGACCAGCTGATTAACTTATTAATTGTTTCAGCACCAATTAACAGATGTTACTCTATGTTCAGGTATTTTCCAAGGCGTTCTTCAAACATTTAATGCTTGCACTGATAATTCAGTAAACTTGCCATCAGCTAGAAATATACTGGTCAATATGTGCTTTATAGACATGACACTGGATTTGGATTCTGAGAATCCAAGGAGCGTTTCCTTGAGTATGAATGGCCTTGATTTGATTTGACTGGAAAAGGCTTTTTACCTTTAATTTGATACGTGATCCCTTCATCTTCCCATGCTTTTTGCTCTTGGCATGAACCAGCCATGAACCTTTCAAATGAGATGTTGACATATATTTCTTCAAAACCCTCTAGTTTTCCTTATTCCACGAAATGAGCTTGAACATTGCCTCTAGAATAATTTTGGGAAAGATCAAAGCAGAAATTGAACTCTGATACACTCGACTGAATGCCTGAGGGAACAAAAGGAAAACCTTCCTATTCATTAATTTCCTGACATGTATCCATATCCGCAGCAAATTGGACAGCCATGCTCATTTTTAATAATTAAGGCCCCTCATTTGTCGTCTCGCTGATGACATCACAAGCTCTTTGTTGTTGCTGTGATATGTGATCCAGATAACATCAATGTGGAGACACTGGATACTCTTGTTTTGGGATTGAGGGTCTGGAGAATTGGTGGTAGTGATGGGGGGAGGATTAAGTCCAATGGAATTAAATGTCTAGCCGAGTTACAAAGATGTCATGATATATGGACGTTGTGGTGTTGGGTTGCATTTTGATTATGTCCACAAGTAGGCAGGGGGTTTTCTGCTCAAGTCAAATCTTATTAATGTTCTGCAATTTCGTCTGTGGGCCTGAGTCTACTGACAGAGAGTTAATGAGACACACATGAAACTGGTTGATTTGAGGATGGATGAGCAGCGAATAACACAAGTTCAATTTCATGATATAAGTTCCCTCTCCTTTTCCATCCCATCTGGTGACTCAATCTCTACCACCAGAGCAGGGAAGGGAGTTTTCTCAGCCATGAAGCTTGGCAAGATCAAGAGCTACAGAGACGATCACAAGAAAGGAGGTAAAACAACACACATCACACAAAACAATGCCTGTTTGACTCCAAATGAACATAACTGAGTCATTATGCCCTTTTTTAATTATTAAAGGGAAAATACATGTTGAAGCCTAACTAAGTTCTAACTGATTCTACCCATGATCATAGGTAGGAAGTTCTTAGGTCATGAGTCTGAGTCACCCCTCGGCAGTCTCAAAACCTTTTTAATTGTTTGGATTTCTTTTCAAGCCTGTTTCCCCACCAAAATTGTATATCATTATGTAAATGCCTAAAAGTAGTGGAATTTATATAAATAGAATAAAACATACTGGAAATAACCTATAAAATATACACCAAGTATTAGTTTTTAATTGTTGATTTGCTTCATTTTCATTGTGCAGATGAGCCGGCGGTCCTGGATATGGAAGACCTGGACAGGAAGGCGATGCGTCTCGCAGGATCACTGGACCCAGACACCATCTCTCTGGCCTCTGTCACCGCCGTCACCACCAACGTCTCCAATAAGAGGTCTCATTTTTTGTTCATACACTGAGACATTCACTCACACACGTGGTTGAGAAGTACACACGCACATGGGCACATAGTAGGTTAAAGCACACAGCCTTAATGGTCTCAGTCAGTCAGTACTGTACATCTCAAACTGCTGATACCGCAGGATAATTTCAGGCTGTTTGCTGATACCATTTAATTGCATATATTTATAAAGAAATAAATTTATTCAACCCGGGAATATGGAAAAATGAGGGCATTCAATTTAAGATTCAATCTTAAAATTGAGTTTCTGCCCATGTGCCACCTCCATTTTTTCAGTGGAGCACAGGAGAATGCACGATGAAAAATCACTGATTGGGTTTAATTGTTTCAGGTCAAAGCCAGATATCAAGATGGAACCAAGCTCTGGACGACCAGTGGATTATCAGTGTGTGTGTGTGTGTGTGTGTGTGTGTGTGTGTGTGTGTGTGTTTCTGGGTGCTTGTCCAAGCAAAAGCATATTCCCTTATACACATTTCTGCCTGCAGATCTGTACGTACAACTGTGTGCACATTCATCAATATGCATCTTCCTACCCTTTCGCTTGAGACATTTCTTAAAATTATGATGTTTTATTGTGACTATTTGTATGTATATGTGTTGCTGATATATGATTTGAATGTGGTTTTGATGTATAATTGTAAGGATAGTTGGGAGGAGGACTAAGCCAAAGTACAGCTTTCATAGTTAGTCATTTGGGAAAATACAATTATTTGTTGTGAGTTAGATGTGAAGATTGAAACCACTCTCAAATTTGTGTGTTAAGTACAGAGCTGGAGCCTGGAGGTGATCAGCTTAGCTATCATAACGACTGGAAGCAGGTAGAAAAAGATAGCCTGTCTCTTTCGAAGTTTAAAAAATGAGCACTTCTAAAGCTCAATAATTAACGTCTTGGGTCTCGTCTGTTTAATTCATACATTGTAACTATTTCTTGAAAAACAGCAGATATGCTGCACGTAAGTGTGGTGATGAAGGTTAAACTCTTCTTTGCTAAGAAGCCACAGTCACAACTCCCCTAAAACCTTTTATATATTATACTAACTGTGTGTTAATTTGTTTTAGAAGTGCTGGTATACATATTTTTGAAAGGATGGCCATATTCCCCAATGCTTCCAGTTTTTATGCTAAGCTAAGCTAATAGTCTCATGACTCCAGCTCCATACTTTGCAAGCAATTGTTTGACATTTTGTGAAATATGCTCATTCACTTTACACATTACATGATACCACTCTCATATTTTTCTGTTAACATAAGGCTACAGCCATAATATATATAACTATATCCACAAATGAGCTTCTTTCATAGGTGTTATTTCCACTGGGGACGCTGGGGACATGTCCCCACCACTTTTTGAAATGGCTGATTTTGTCCCCACCACTTTTTTAAAGCACAATTTGTTTTTAAAAAAACATCCTGAAATATAGCTTGCAGTTAAATAACAAATGAAAATGCCTTTAGAAAGGTTTATTTGCACATTAAGAAAACATGCAATGCAAATAAAATACATAAGAAGCATTGTCCAAAAAAAACAAGCTACTGATTATAAAATGACCCAAAAACGTGCACACACCAATCAGAAACTTTAACAACTTCTTGGTAGTTTCTTTTTGGCCAATATATTATATATATTATATATTATAATATATATTATATATATATTCTATTATATTTAGATATTTTGAAAAATTACCTGCCACCTGAATTTTGTGTTTTTTTAACATAAATAAAAACATTTTCACCATAAATTGGTGCAGAAATGTTCACCAGAATACAGGAAATGAAGTGTTTAATGATCATATTTTCTTTCCATTGAGGATATCTTTAAAACACTGTTTAAGTGTCTTTTCATCTCGTTATCGTGAACCTAATATTGTGTATCATGATGTCTCGCAAGCTAAGTGTCTCTTCACAGCCCTAATCTGAGCCCCTATGTCCCCACCACTTTTCAACACAAAGTGACGTCCTTGGCTTCTTTGTTTTCTTTATATTCATGGCTGTTTGCATGCACTGATTTATTCACCACAAGATCAGCGAAAGAAAGTAACAGAATAACAGTCCTCCAATGCTAGCCCATGCCCTATATTCATGGCCTATTTTATTTAAAAAAAACATGAATGCAGTTATACAGCAGACTGTTGGTGTTTTGCAGACTCATCCTCTCTTTCTCTTTTTTGTGTTTTCCTCTGTTCTCCTTCATTATCCAACAACTAATTAAACCAGAGGGATATTACTTGGCTGTAGAAAGCTTTAGCTTGAATCTAACTTGTTCTATCAAATGCTACATGACTATAGCTTGGGGAGATGTCAGAGGAAAATCACAGGCTAAAAAGGTTTCTGGCAAGATCCCTCCATGCCTGCAATCAGAATTATTAGAGTTTGTGAAAGATCGATCTGTTTGGGGGGGGGGGGGGGTAATTACTCCTTAGTTGCATGATTTGTGATTGCTGCTGGTTAACTCACTGTTGGATGAAAAGTCAGGTTGTTTTAGCTTTCAGAGTCTCTGATGTGCTAATGTCTCCCATCAGATCAGCATCACAGTGGTCGAGGCCCGGCAGCTGATAGGCCTCAACATGGACCCCGTGGTGTGTGTGGAGATCGGAGATGAGAAGAAGTACACATCTATGAAGGAGTCCACCAACTGCCCGTATTACAATGAGGTGAACCCTTCTTAACTTTAAAAATTCACATGCACATTTTTATGTATATAAACAAACAGTTTCTCCCATAAAAACCATTACATTTTTATTATTTTCAAGGCTTTTTAATCTATTCCGTAATCTAGCCATGGTTTGAAGTTGACATAAACTGCCTTATAGTAAAAATTTGTTATTGAAGCAGGTTGAGATTAGATTCAGAAAAATGACACAGATGGGATTTGGCTGAACTGTAGTGCTAAAAATAACCTTACATACACTGGATATGTCAAGGGGAAAATGATGTCACTGCTAAAATCTGAACGGTGAACGCATAGTTTATTAGATTCTCAAAAGTAGTACTTAATTTTGTACATTAAGAAGCTATCATCAATATTTAACAACGTATCACTTGGCTACTTGTGCGTGAAGGGGTTACTCATAGTGATGAACCTACAGAAGGTTATTTCCCAACTCTCTCAACAGGCCAAGAAAATCAATTAAATCAGGTTTAAGGTAGCAAAATTCTCAGACCTGCAACAAACTTGAAACGCAAGTTCTCTAATATAAGATTGCTGGATTCACCCACACAGTAATCATACTGTGATGATTTACACAGCATGAACAGATAAACAAATACAATGCAAGAAGAAGATTTCTGTACTCTTATCTCGTAGCATAATTATCCAAGGATAATTGGTATCATATAGTATATCTGTATATCTTGTGCCACTGGCATATTAAGTGAGAGCAGGTGTTTTTTCAACATGAAGACATCAGTCAGTATATTTTCCTGTTTTCCTGCCACCAAAGAGATTTCTGGGAAAATGCACAAAGTAAAATGCAGTGTAGAGGCTGTCAGTGTTCTCTTTGATGGTCGAATGTTGTGACGATTTATTAACTTTAAAATACTTAACACACTCCTCTTCCTGAACAGTAGGACATGTTGGTTGTGCCGATGGTCATGCAGAGCTCAGCCTCCGGTTGTATCCTTAAGTGATAGTTTGTCCCCTATCGATTCTTCCTGTTTGTCTGAAAATCCCCCATGCGAGGAGAGAAAGCTTGAAGGACGTATTTGTATTCAGACCCTCCAGTTTGTTCAGAATCTGTGCTATTTCAGATAGCTTTACAGTTTTCAGGAATAATGATTTGGAATTGGCTGTAATGGGAAACCACAATCATCTGTGGTCTTTTGAGGTTCACTGATAACACTGCAAAAACTACATCATCATGACAAATATTATGTAATCTCATTTCACTTATTTCTGTTTAGGTTAAAATGACACGCAAGTCTATTTTGTTAATATATATATACAGCATATACCTTTATTATACCAGGCAAGTTAATTAAGAACATATTCTTATTTACAATAATGGCCTGACAGGAGACAAAGGCCTCCTGTAGTGAATGGATAAAGGGAAAAAATGGCATAAACAACAGACAGAAGACGCAGGACAACAACACAGTTCCAACAACAAACCTTCAAAACCGGACACAAAGAAACCAAATGAAAGAATAATAAAACACAGAACAAGAAACGTGATAACAGACTAAGACATACGATAACACCACATGAAGCAAGTCACTCATTTCACCTATTTCTTTTCTGTGTCACTCCTCTTAGTTTTTCATTTAGTAAACATATTTTACATAAAGAGCAAAATACAAAGGGATCTCATGAGACAAATCTGAGTTCTTGTGCCCCTGCCTGTTGCAGAGTTGCACATAAGCTGCAGTATAGCTGAACCAATGCACTTTAAGATACTCACAGCAAAGGTAGCTTTAAATCAGCCATTTCTTTTCAAGCCATTCATCTTTGCCTCCAAAGAACTGAAAGCTCGAGGGGCTTCTGATGTGGGTACAATATCATCTGATCTGCTGCGAGGCTGACCTAACAGTGAAAAGATCACAATCGCATTTCTGTTCATTCCCTCAGGTGAACTCTGCTTTGATATCTCTCGAACTGAATGAATACATTTTAATGGGCAAACGTTGTTTCTGCTCTCTGCAGTATTTCGTCTTTGACTTCCATGTCCCTCCTGATGTTATGTTTGACAAGATCATCAAGCTCTCAGTAAGTAGTCCATACCCTGCATGTTTTGAAGATGATATAACTCCTTAATACTTTATGGTGCAGAGAAGTGTATATACCATACCTTTTGTATGTATAGCTAAGTGTGAAGACATAAAAATAGGTTTCTGGTTATTGCATTAATTAGGTTAATTAATGATCTGAGAGAATAATTGGTTATATTTAATGTAAAATGGTGAAAAGATTATGCAGCCCCTTGTTAAACATGAATAATAATACACTATAAGTGCTTTACTAAAGGAAATAAACCAGACAAGGTAGACGAGAATAAATCCAAAGAATATGAGCAAATAGGAAGTAAAGACAATAATGTGGATAAGATTTAAAAAATCAAAACAAAGTCCATAGCCATCTGTTTTTCTGTAACACTCAGACTTTTTAATTATTTATTGCAGTTTTCTAGTTAAATTTTCAAATTTGCTCTTTATTTTAATATTTCATTCTCAATTCTCTCTGTGTAGGTCATTCACTCTAAAAATCTTCTTCGGAGTGGGACCTTGGTGGGAACCTTCAAGATGGATGTTGGGACTGTTTACTCTCAGCCTGGTAAACTACAAGCTGTAGCCCTGATATCTATCTAATAACTCATCATAACGTACACACCCAGTCCTAAATGTGTTTTGTACAACTTCATTTTGTGTCCTTTGTTCATTGTGAAGTAAAAATTATTATTAAGATTTAAGAAAAGCTATTTGTCAGCTGACTAATTGAGTGACATTTATCCCAGAACATCAGTTTTACCACAAGTGGGCCATCCTGTCTGATCCTGATGACATAACGGCGGGGTGTAAAGGATATATAAAGTGTGACATCGCTGTGGTTGGGAAGGGCGACAACATCAAGACTCCACACAAGGCCAACGAGACGGATGAAGACGACATAGAGGGGTAAAAAGTTGTTACTGATGTGTTAGTTTTAGATTTAATTCAAAACTATGTTATAATTTCAAAGATTACAAAAACATGTATATTTAAATAATAATCACACAGTATCTTTATAAAGAGTAAAGAAAGCAACTCCTAAAGTAACTCCACAATCCTGTCACTGAATGAGTTTTCGTGCTGTTGTGTGTTTCCAGGAACCTCCTGCTCCCAGAGGGCATCCCGGCAGAGAGGCAGTGGGCAAGGTTTTATGTGAAGATCTACCGCGCCGAGGGACTTCCTAAAATGAACACCAGCATCATGGCTAATGTGAAGAAGGCCTTCATCGGAGAGAACAGAGACCTGGTGGACCCCTACGTTCAAGTGCAGTTTGCTGGGCAAAAAGTAACTCCCTCCACATCCGGCAATCTCTTATTCTTTGCTAGGTTGTAGCAGCTGTTGTTACTCAACAGGGGATCATTACTGATTACACTGTGCGTTTGGTTCTCTAATAGTTAAAAAGATATCTTTATATATTGTTACACAGGAGCAGCAACATTATTTTTGACTGAAAAACGTTAAGATTTTATTCCTGTTTTAAATGTTTTATTTTTAAGTATCCAAAGTTTTTGAATAATTACCTTTATTCAAATACTTTTATTGAACTTACCATACATACAACTGAAAGTAGGCCATAGACTGTATTTCCCAGTTCCAATTACCACACACATAAACACATCGCGAGCCTACATCCGTCCCTTACACAAATATCTTAAAATAAAAGAGAAGACAGAAAAGAGAGTAAAGGGAGGGGGGGAAAGGTTTCTAGATCCAGTAGAACATTCTGGTTGAGCTGTAAGTAGTAAGTGCTTGAGATCATCCAGCCAGCGTTTATGAGATGTTGACTCAGTTGTTTTTTTTAATCTGAGGAGTCTGGGGAGCAGACTTCAAGCAGGGAGTGTAGAGAAGGCCACAACTACTTCTGGTATTAGCTGTGATCTTTTAAGTCCTCGGGTTGCTCCCAAATATGTTTGCCAGAAGGTTAAGATCAATACCTGTTCAAATACAATTGAGAGGGTTAAAAATGCCCATCCAAAAACCCTGCAGCTGTAGACAGGACCAAAATACTGAATGTGGCTGTGGGTGCCTGGATAACGCCCGCATGTTAAAGGTTAGGTTGTCATTCTTTCAGGGGAATCATAATACAATACTTGGCTACACATATACAGTATGTACAATGAAAGGGAGATTAATTGTAGTGCTCCTCCTGTTCTTTCTGGCCACAAAGCAAACAAAAACTGCTTCGATTTACACATGGACAGATTCACATTTACTCTTGAAAAAACGTTTTTTACAATCTGCTGTTGGTAAGATGGAGCCATATGAAGTAGATAAGCTCCTTTAGTGTTTATGTTATTAAAACTACTGTATCAACTACTATAACAAGGACTAGAGCCACATAACTGACCACTACAAATGTTTATGTACTTTCTACCTGGGACTTAAGTATTACTCCAATGTCTCCAAGGGGAAGACTTCAGTCCAGAAGAGCAGTTATGAACCAATTTGGAACGAGCAGGTCATCTTCACTGAGCTGTTCCCTCCACTCTGCAAACGCATGAAGGTCCAGATACGAGACTCGGATAAGGTCAACGACGTTGCCATAGGAACCCACTTCATTGACCTGCGCAAGATATCAAATGATGGTGACAAAGGTTGGTCAGATTGGTCATGTTCAGTTTGTCTTATGAACATTGATTAGCTGTCAGGTACGTTAATTAGTCAATCTTAACTAGCTAATATTTTACTGCATATAGTAATTGTAGTAAATGTAGATGTGCAGTCAATACATAGATTAGCATATATTAAACCAAAGTACAAGATCCATTATGAAGAATTTTGCCAATTTCCAGAGAAAATTCCTTGCAGAGTTCCTTTTTATAAATAGAGGGGAAAATGGTGAGCATGACCAATGAATTTTATTATGACTGATCATATAATCATGAGTACAACCTTACAAAACCTCAAACATTATCAACGTATAATACAAAGAAAACACATGTCCATTTACAAGTGATCTCTGCTAAATGAATTGGAGCAAGAGCACAGCAATGAGCTTACAAAATAGTCAATTATGTAATACGCTTTAAAGAATTAAAATGTAATGTTCAACGAGATTTGGATTTTACATCGTCTGGACAAAGATATGGAATCTAAACTCCGATAAGGATATGAAACTGTCCTTTCTGTAAGGATTGTGGTTGTCATAGGCTAATATGAATTGTTCACTTTCTGGCTTTTTGGGAACGGGTTGAAGGATGTAGATACTTTGAAATACCTTAAATAGAATAGAATATTGAAAAAGAAAAAAAAAAATCTTCTGGATTACCATGTCATCTCCTACATCTCCTCCTGAATGTCCAGGGTTCCTGCCCACACTGGGCCCAGCTTGGGCCAACATGTATGGTTCCACCCGTCAGTACACTCTGATGGACGAGCACCAGGACCTGAATGAGGGTCTTGGAGAAGGCGTGTCCTTCAGAGCCCGTCTCCTGCTCTCCATCGCTGTGGAGATCCTGGACACCACTTCACCTGAGATCATAAGCTCCACTGATGTGCAGGTGGAGAGTGTCTCCAACATCTCAGAAGTAAGAAGACCCGACTGACTTTATGTGAAGTACTCATTACTCGGACATCCCTTCACATAAAATGTCCCTCCAACTGCATTACCGAAAACAAACTTATCTTAAAGCTGTTTCCCTGACTGTGATCCATGAGAACAACATGCTGTTTGACCTCTCCTGAACTCCTGACCCACAATAAACAGTGTGATGCTCCAATCCACCATTGTATTGGCGCGTGTGTAGTTAACTGCCCATCAGGGAAATCAGAAACATTAGATGCTCTGCTTCGGTGCAAGCTTGCCAGCTATTCACATTCTTGGCTGTTGTAAATGTGTCCTCTGGGAACCGTAGTCATTCATGCCAGCATGAGTCTGTGCCAGTTGTCAAGTACTTTGTTTTGAAGGAGAGACAGATTACTAATTTAAGGAAATAATGCTAATCAAATAAAAGCCGTAAAGGGGCTCATTTATCTTCACTCTAAATATTGAACATGAGATTGGTCTGCCTCATCATTTGTCATCTATAACACAAAGTAGAATGCGTTCATCAATGCTTTTGGATCATTCACAGGAATGTCCATTCGTCAACCTAATTTCTGAGAACAGGAAAGGCCAATAACTGACTTTGGAGATGAAAAAATATTGTCTTTCATATCCGGAAGATTGCAAGCCGGCTGTGGTTCATATGGGGTTGTCATATTTGGTTAAGTTCTTGTAGAGACTAATCCTGATTGAGCTGAGAAACAGTGCCGCAATCACAGATGGTTCTGTTAACGCTGCTAGGACAGTTTATTGTCATGCATCACATAAATTTTTCAAACTAGACTTAACATAATATTCCTGTTTATTTTAGCTATTTTTGACATGTTTTCTGGGCTTGCCCTAAAGTAAAAACATTTCTGAATAAATATTAATTATTACTTAATATAATTATTTATAGATTATATCAGAAAGCAAAGTAAATCGGCTGCAACTAAATAGTGTATGTTTTTTATGGGCCCCTTTAGGGTTTTGCTTAATGTGTGGTTTATTTAAACTACCTTTGAATCATACTCATTGTACATCCCCAGACTGTGACCATTTCAGCCTGGTCACGATGGCTATGGACACTGGAGATACAGCATATCTAGACTTGCATGGTTGCTACTCTGGCAACTTTGTTTGGTTTTGTCTTGTTTTATTTATTTTTATAATACTTTATAATATAATAATGAATATTTCATATTTTAATAACAACTACATAAATGGTTAAAACTACTCAGAGAGGAGGAAGGTAGCTGTTATGTATAGTTAATGACAGAAAAGCAGTTTTTCTTCCACAGACTTTATAATAAAATGAATGCACTTCAGTCCAATAAAATGTTTAACTTTTTCTTTATTGCCATTCTCGTCACTCCATCAGAGTGCCACTGGGAAAATAGATGAGTTCTTCCTCTTTGGTTCCTTCCTGGAGGCCACCATGATTGACAGGAAGATTGGCGACAAAGCGATAAGTTTTGAAATCACAATAGGTAAATAAACTTTTTCTTGATCTTGTTAACGTTGACCTGTTTGCCCCAAGTTTACAATATAACAGAGGGATGTGACAGTGTACCAAAACAATCAATAGCTACCTTAACCAAGTACAGTCCGTAACAATGTGGGATGTTCTGCCCGCTCCCAGGAAACTATGGCAACCAGATAGATGGTGTAAGCAAGCCTTCATCAGCAAAGAAAAGGAAGAAAGATGGAGAAAATGAAGAAGAGGAGAACGAGCTCATCCAGAACTCCAGTGAGGACGAGGCAGACGAGGATGGGGACCTGGTCTCCGTCTCCTCCACTCCTATAATGAAGCCCGTCATCACCGACAGGTCAGGTGTCAAAGGTCACAGGGGCAAGGTCAAGGGGTCGAAATCAGTTTGTTAAGTACTTTATAATTATCAGAGATAGCACAGTGTATCTCAGCCAGAAGCAGACTGCTGGCAATGATTAGCTGTATTAAGAGTAGTAATTGCACAATCCTTTACACATTCAGGTTAAACTAGCATTTAGTATGTAACAATTCAGGGTTTGACTGTGTTATTTTGTTTGTTTCGTCAGGAATTACTTCCATCTTCCCTACTTCGAGAAGAAGCCATGTGTCTACATCAAAAGCTGGTGGCAGGACCAGAGAAGACGACTTTACAACTCCAACATGATGGACAAGATCGCTGACAAACTGGTCAGTGTACACCTTCCTTCACAATGTGCAAAGGTCAGCTCAGGTGGCTGGATTGGCTTAACTCTGATATTCTGTAGCAGATGATAACAAGGCTAAGAATATACAGAGCCATGCTAGTAGTTCTGTGAGGCTGTCCTCAGGCACAGCGGTGCTTTGAACTAAATGCTAATGTCAGCATGCTAACATGCAGTTTTGCATCTAGTCATAAACCAAAGTATTGGGAAAATTTTAAAAAAGCTGACCTGATAATGGTGCTAAATGAAAAGTTGGGGGATCACCACAGTTATTACAATTCATGTCGAGGGGAACATAAATGATAAATTTCATGGCAATCCATCTGACAGCTGTCAAGATATTATACTCTTAACTACAGATGTTAACCTCATGGTGGCACTAGAGGAAAAGTCAGGGAACCACCCAAGTCGGTAGGCTTCCTCCTTTGGGGACTTTGAATGTTTGTACAAAATTTCATGATAATCCATCCAATATTTTAAACTGACCAATGTTGCTATCCCCAAAACCACATCACTAGCATGGTTAATAAGATGGGAAAATAACCATTTATAAAATGAATAAACAAATCACAAAGTAGAAAAATTATGACAAATACGGGATAGGAATAATAACAATATAAATTGCATTGTTCTTATAAAAGCTATAGTATCAATTACATGGTAGTATGTGTATATAGATAAGGTACATTCGTAAAAGAGGTTTTGCATATGGTTATGAGTATTTTGAGTATATGAGTTTGTTTTTTTTTCAACAGGAAGAGGGTTTAAATGACGTTCAGGAGATCATTAAGACAGAGAAGGCTTTTCCAGAACGCAGACTCAGGGGAGTGTTGGAGGAGCTCAGCGTCGGCTGCAGGCAAGCTACATAAGAATTTGACGTGGTCTCGTATTAAAACTGGCATTGTGACTCAGCGGTCAGTAAAGATCCAGAGAGTTTCTCCTGATGCAGAAAGCTGTAAACCTGCTATAAGACCTAAGACTTCTCAAACATGCACATTAAAGCCCGCTAGCAGCCTTCTTTCAATGACAATTTAATGGTGAAAGAAACCAGCAGTGTGTTTATCGTTAATTTATCAGTATGTAAAAAGTCGAGCCACATTCATGTTTCATCCTCTGTATTTTCTGGTTATTCCCAGTCGGTTTGTGACTCTGGCTAACAAGGATGTGAACCAGGCAGGCCGAACCAAACTGGATCGAGAACGGCTGAAGTCCTGCATGAGAGAGATGGTATGATTTATGTTTCTCAGAAGGAAGGAAGTGGAGTGAGTGATAGATAGGAAGATGAAGCTGTGAAAAATGGCATCAATTTGTCTGCGGTTCTGTCAGTAATCTCAATCTCTTAATGAGTAAATAGTGTGGAGTGCTGTAAAGGCACCACCCAGAAATTGATAATAATTTTTGAAATACATTTTCACTCCTTTGACAAATTCCGTGCTATATACATTAGCATGCATTTCCAATATCTCATTCAAAGAACTGTTTCATATTCCCTCTGATTCATGTTTGTATTTGATTACAAATAGACTTTTGATTTCAATAGAAAATGAAAAAGGCAATGCAAAGTGTTGTGTAGAAAAACAAAAGCAGTGTAAGCTGGGTTTTAGTGGTGGCTGATGAATAAGGTCCAGTGTTTGAACAGGTATATGCATCAGCAGTATGTGTACTTAAAGCACACTGTAAGAAAGAAATGAAATGACTGTATTGCATACTTGCCTGTAGCTGCACCACACCACTGGGCGTGAGGGAATGTGAAAACTGCAATGGAAAGCAAAAGTATTGCAGGAGAACACAAACTTGTTTTGAAAAAAAAAACATGAGAAAGATTTATGGTGGGAAAAGTCATGTGTGTGGAGGATGTGCAGGTACTCTTTATAGTTTAAACCAAGAGTCTCTAAAACGTTTTATATATTTTAAAGAAAATCCACTTACATGCAGTTGGTTAAATTGTATATGTGTAAGGTGCAATGCCCCTCTGTTAGTATGCTTCATTATCACTTATCTCTCTTCCTGCAGGACAGCATGAGCCAGCAGGCCAAGATGATCCGGACTCAGGTGAAGAAAAACACAGTGAAAGAAAAACTCAAGCTGGTGCAGAACTTCCTGCAGAAGCTCCGTTTCCTCGCTGATGAGGTGCAGATTTAGTCCTGTGTAACTTGTTTGTGCATAAAACTATTAATGCAGAATGAATATACAGTATATAAACATTTTACAGTATATACAGTAAAAGTACATGATCAATCCTGTATATTTATCTTGTTCAGCCTCAGCACAGCATTCCAGATGTTTTTATCTGGATGATGAGCAACAACAAGCGCATCGCCTATGCCCGGATTCCTTCTAAAGACATTCTCTACTCCATAGTTGATGAGGAAACAGGAAAAGACTGCGGCAAAGTCAAAGCTGTCTTCCTCAAGGTACAATCATCTCTTCCCGCCCCTCTCTTAGTCAAACACTGTTCGCTTGTCTCATTAAAACACACTTTGCTGATTTTCAACCATCTTAAATCCAAGACCTGTAATTATTCTGTGAAGCCATGTGCTCAATTTACTGTGAAATGATCAGTTGTGGTAAATAGTCAAGATACAAGATACAGCATTATCTGTAACAGCTGCTTACAAAGAAAATCAGGTGGCAACTTAATATGTATGAATTGGGCCATGTTGCAGCGTTGTCTGCATAATGCTTGATGATTGACTCTACCAAAGAGAGGATGTAATACATACTTTCCTTTGTTTTTCTCAACAGTTTATTCTTTCTTTTTAAATCGAACTCTTCACAATTATTCAGAACCCTGCTGTTGTAATCTGTGTCCACAGCTGCCTGGTAAGAAGGGGTTTGGTCATGCAGGCTGGACAGTTCAGGCTAAGCTGGAGTTGTATCTGTGGCTTGGCCTCAACAAGCAAAGGAAGGACTTCCTCAATGGTCTCCCTAATGGTTTTGAAGAGATCAAAGCCTCTAAAATGGGCCCCGGCCTTCAGTCTGTCCCCCCCATCAGTCTCGTCTACAACAGTAAGTACACGCTAAAAATGTGAGCACATGTGGGCGGCTGAGTCCCCGCAGCATTAGGTTTTCTCTTGATTTACCATTAAGTTTGAACTCTAAAATCATTTAGAGGCTAAACACTCAAAATCAAACTCACTCAGAAGTAGACATTTGACTTCTATTGATTGCTTTTACTTTGTCGTTCACTTTTATAACTTTAGTATAAGACCGCTAACAAAGGGATTGATTGTCAAATAATATGATGTGATGTATGCACGCGTGTGTGTCCAATAGTGAAGCAGGTGTTTCAGCTGAGAGCGCACATGTACCAGGCCCGCAGTCTGTTTGCTGCTGACAGCAGTGGCCTGTCAGATCCCTTCGCTCGGGTCTTCTTCTCCACACACAGCCAGGTTACTGAGGTATGGCCATCAGGGTGTGTAGATGAATAAACTGTGTTTATTAACGGTGAGCAACTGTGTGAGTATTTGTATCACTGATGTGATGTGTGTGTAAACTGAGGTAATATGTGTGTGTGTGCTGCAGGTCCTGAGCGAGACTCTTTGCCCTACATGGGACCAGCTGCTGGTGTTTGACGATGTGGAGCTCTTTGGGGAGGCCAGTGAGCTGAGGGACGACCCACCAATCATTGTGGTTGAAATCTACGACCAGGACACTGTGGTAGGGTCTTACTCCATGTGAATGAATGGATGCATCATTGAGGGGCACATTAATAGACTGATCAATGCTCGTTACACAGGATTCAGTTTGTGCTAATAAATGTGCTTTGCTTCTCCTTCCCTCATGTTCTGCCTGTCTGTCCACCCTTGTTTCACTCCACTCTGTCCTTCACATAAACTCTGTCCGTGATCACTCTGTGCTGGCTAAACAGAGTGTGAAAGAATGTGTTGAGTTTAAAGTTCTCATAGTGACTGATGGCTGTTAGCTGATGTAGCATGAATTATTTGGTTCATCTAGCTGCAGATGAGCTCTGGAAAAGCTTTGGAAAAACTGGTTGTAGTAGGAGCAGTGGCGCAGAGTAGAAAATCTTGCTCCCAATACTCAATCATGAAACGAAGAAAGGTTTTTAAAAAATGCTAATTTATATATCTATTTAATGACTACATCTATGTTTGTTATATCACACTATGATCTTTAGTGAGGGTGTCGTTTGTATTATATACTGTAAGACATTTGCTGTTTCACATTTTTAAGACTTTCAACCACTTTGACCAATACTGACACCAAGTGGCTGCCGTGGAAACTGCACCACACACGCCCATGTCTAACTCCCTTCCCTTGTCCCCTGACTGTCCAAACTGCCTGCTGTCACAATGTATGTAGGGCAAGGCGGAGTTCATAGGCCGGACGTTTGCGAAGCCCACCATCAAGATGTGTGACGAGCACTACGGCCCCCCGAGGTTCCCACCCCAGCTGGAGTACTACCAGGTTTACAGAGGGAACTGCACTGCCGGGGAGCTGCTGGCTGCCTTTGAGCTGCTGCAGGTAACATAAATTATGCAAGAACACAGATACGTAAACACACATGAATGAATGAACGAATGCTTTTTACATGTGCACACACATGCAACTCCATAGGGTCTCCTTCTGGAGAGATTGCATGACACTTTTGTACAGTTATAGTAAAGAGGAATGAGGGATGGAAACGGAAGAATCATTAAGTAATCATATGGATCATGCACAAAAGATCATGGAAAAATAGCAAACATAGGGGTTTTCTTTCTCTTTGTACATGTCTCTTCATGTAAAACTCAAATCTTCTTCTTTGCCACCATGCATATCTTCTTTCCCTTTCCCCTTTAAATAATTATAACTCCATTTTCTCTCTTGTTTCCTCTGCCATCATCCCACCACACTTCTCTTCCATCCATGAGCATATACATTTTTTCTCCTTTCACCTGTGAAATATCCATTTTCCCTGTTTCTTACTCCTTCCTATGCCTCCTCCTGCTGCCCACAGATACCTTTCGATGAGGAGTCGATTAGGCGAGCCTTGATTGCTGTCCATAACTTTGCTGTTCCTCAAATAAAGGTGCTCTTTTCTTTCATTCTTTCTTTTCATCCTATTTTGTCTTACTCTTTGGTCATTCTGTTGTCAGTGTTTGTACTGAAAAAGCTTTTTATCTCTACCAACATGACATTAACCTCTGCCTTCTCTGAACTCACACTAAGCAAAGAAAGACTCTGTACAAATATTAGGACTGTAGGAAATAAATCTGGTATGGTGTTAATGCTGTAGTTCAATGCATAAATCACAGAAGCATTGCAACCTGTTACTCTCACGTTTAGAGTACTTCCCATGTCCCCTCTTTAATTAGATCGGTCAAGGTGGGAGGGCCGATCTTCCTCCCCTTGAAGGGCCGACAGACTCGGAGCGTGGACCCATTCTGCCTGTGCCGCTGGGCATCCGACCCATCCTGAGTCGCTACCGCATTGAGGTGACATTCTAACAACCAGCTCTGTTTTTGAGCTCTAGAGATTCCCCTACTCATGTTTTTTGTTCTCTGGTTCAGGTTTTGTTCTGGGGCTTAAGGGATCTGAAGAGAATTAACTTGGCTCAGGTGGATCGTCCCCGTGTGGACATAGAGTGTGCAGGGAGAGGTGTGCAGTCTGTCCTCATCCAGAACTACAAGAAAAACCCCAACTTCAGCACCCTGGTTAAATGGTTTGAGGTGGTAAGTGCAGCTGTCCATTTGATATTTAGACCATTTGAAATTTGGATCTTATATATTATATCCAGCCCCTTGAAATAAACATGAAACTTCACTTGAAATCGGTCTGCTTGTCTTTACTTAACTGAACTCTTTTGGATAAGTGTTACTTATTGCAAGAATAATATGTAGGCATGGTGTAAACTTCTGCCTTTGCTTCACTGCACCAACTGCATGTCTTAATTATGTCCTCAGGACCTTCCAGAGAATGAGCTTCTCCACCCTCCTCTCAACATCCGGGTGGTGGACTGCCGGGCATTTGGCCGATACATCCTGGTGGGGTCCCATGCTGTCACCAGTCTGAGACGTTTCATCTACAGCACCCCAGACAAATCCTCCAACAACTGGGCCACTGCAGGTGCTAACACTAATGTGAAGGGTTATACTGATATTATTGTGATATATTATTGTTAGCAACGAGCCTACTAACTGTGGGTGTTAGGAGCAGTAGCACTGCGTTTCTGTTTGATGATGAGACAGCATGTGCATGAGCTGTCTCTTTTCAAAAGACAGCTCATGAACATGCTATCACAAACAGTATCCCCTGATGAAGGCTCCAAGCTAAAACACATCTGCAGTTTCATCAGCCCATTAGTTTCAAATGAAATTCAAAATGATCAAGACATGAGGAGATTCTATTTCTTTTTTCACCACTGGACTGCCTCCTTTTTCCTGCTTTTGTTTTGGGGAATCAGACACATGTACAGTCGTGTTAATGTTTACCAATGTATTGCCATTAAGAAAGACAGCCTGACATTGGCATTACATTTATACATTTTACACTCAGACTTATACATATAATACATATTTCAAATGTAAACAGCAATCAATAGCAAATTCATAAACATGTAGAGGGCATTCTTTTGTTTACTTCTTTGCCAGTTCTGGTTTTCCTTTATTTCTTGAATAGACCTGTGGGTTTACACTGTACAAATAAACTTTAGACTTTGTTTTAACTTTTTCAAATTGCCCATTGGACAGGCTTCCAAGAAGGTTTAGACAATAACGGTATACTGTACTTCAGGAAGGTTTAAGACTTTAAGAATTACATTAAAATGCGACTGATCCAGTTCTCTGGTCACTAAAGAATGAATGTTCATTCTTTATTAACTTTGCTGATTTCTCTGCTTGCTCTGTGCCTTGACCTCTTTTTCCTGCCTGTCTGTTCTTGCCATCTGTTGTCTTTTCTCTCTCTTGCATGTCCTCGGCTCTCCTGTCCTCTCATGACGCCTGCCATCTTTGCCATTTTGGCCCCGCTCCAGCTAAGCTAATGAATGGCTACATGGTCCTTGCCAACGGCGGCTCCCAGCCTCGCTCCTCACCCAGCCTTTCCTCTCGCACCCTCTCTCGCCCCGCAGGTGACATCATCGTCAACATGGACACAGAGCCTCTGGTCCGAAAGATGGACACAGTCGTCAAGTTAGACGCTGTAAGCTTTTTTTGAGTATATGCACTGTAGACCATTGCCTGCTAATTCCTATTGTACAATGTGCATGTTTATGTAAATGCTGTGAATCTTATCACTGCTTTATGTTCTGTCTTTTTACCTGCCTCTGTACATGTGCCGCTCCTACCTGCATCATTCATTGTGTGTATTAATCCTTGTGTTGTTTTATGTAACGGCCCCTATCATAGACGTCTGATGCTGTTGTAAAAGTTGACATGGTAAGTAATCGTTCCTATAGAGATTTGGCAATGAAAATATGGGCTAAAGTTAAATGATTATTACATCATTATGAATAAAAACGGAGCTAATGAGAAACACTGTGCACAAGTGTCTGAACTGTTTTAACAGACTGAGGAGGAGATTGACAAAGAGAAAAAGAAGAAGAAGAAGAAAAAGAAGGGAGGGGCAGAGGAAGAGGATGAGACAGATGAGAGAGTGCTGGACTGGTGGTCCAAATATTTTGCCTCAATAGAAACGCTGAAGGAGGTTTGTCTGTTCTATTCTTGTCTACTCTATTTACATCTTCACATGTTTTTTTTTGTCTCATAAGATTTCTCTCTCACCTGAAGTCCTATTAGACTGACATAATTTTCTTGCCTGGTTTTCCAGACCCTCAGAGCCCAGGAGGTAGCACAGGCAGAGGCGGAAGAGAGAGAGGACCTGGAGATAGCTGCAGAGGCAGCAGGTATTAAACTCCACGAAATCAGCTGGACTTCCTGCCAGTGTACCTAAATATCTGCTGCTTTGATTTCCTTTTAAATGAATATGTCAATATCCACATACTTCACTGTTTTATAGTAACAGTATATGCGATCATATCAAACAACTTCGGAATTTGAAAAAATGTATTTTTACAATACACACAGATTTTAAAAAGCCACCACTCACTACTGATTTTTTTTAACCATGAGATGTTCCTGCATTTCCTTTTTGCATTGCATTATGGGAGAATAGTGTCCATCAACAGTCTGCTCAAAAATCAACCATTTTTAGTATGCATGCTTACTGCTGTACTTTATTTTGTCACTTTTTATGTCTGAAAAAACCTGCTAGAACCAGTTTATAGTGTAAAAATTACAGCTGACCGTGATGACTCAAAATGACGATGATTCATAAATGTCTGATATCTGAATTTACTGCTCACTCTATTAATTGTGCAAGCAAGCATTATTTATATAGCACTTTCCAAAACAGCTTCAAAGTTTCAAAGTGCTTCGCAGTTAATACAAAAATAATCGAACACAGCATGTAAAGAACAAATGAAATACAACAACAAAAATAGATACTAAACAATAAAAGCAATATAACAAACAAAACAAAAGTCAATAGGAAGCGCAAGCAGCGAACCTATGAGCTTTTATTATAAAGAGAGCAGTGATTTCAGACTGTAACTGATTGAGCTTTGGTCTGAGATGTGAGTTCTAGCACATCTGTCTGTCATCTGTCTCCTTCCATGGTTTAATCCTTCATCCATGCTTTGAACATGAGTCAAACATTATCACATTCATGATCATTTCCTACATGATCGCCCAGCTCTGTAGTACACATGAAAGTTTGCTGAAACGCACCGAATTAAACTACGTCTGCACTAATATGAGTATAATCCATGCAGCATAAAACTTATAAAGGTGGTACATGTAGTGTAAGAATAAATGATGTAAATTTAAACTACATTTCCAATGTTACGCAGTGGTCTCTGTTGCTAAGCTGAACTTCAGTCTTCTCACTAACTTATCTTATTTTCTGAGAATCGCAAAATGAATGCAACAATAATTTATTGATGCTACATAACACTTTTAATAACATGTAACAGGAACTTAACACCGGGGTCCTTGAACGTTTCAACTCTTTGTCACCTCTGACACTCAACATTACCGGGTGAAGTTAAGCATAGTCAGTAGTGCATTTTTTTGCCAAGGGTAACTAAACCCAACAGTGATGTCTTTAATATTTTGTGGTGTTTTTGATTCTTGGAGTGCCTTTCTAGTGTAAGAACATTTGACTACATTTCCAACATGATTTCGGGGAAACTTACAACAATAAACAGAACTGTCAGCTTTCATGTTGAACGACGCGTGTGTAGTGCTGTGTGCAACCCTGCCACCCATCTTCATGACTCCAACCCTACTTTGTCCACGTCCACTTCCACTCACCCCTCCAATCAGATATCAAACCCAATGACCTTCTTATGAAAGGCTCCAAGTCAAGGGAAAAGAGCAAAGAGAAGAAGAGCTCCAAGGACAAGAAGAAGGGTCAGGCTGTGGACGGCTCTGAGAAACGACCGGTGAAAGCAAAAGTGGACGAGCTGTTGGTGAGTATGTCGCTCCCACTAAGACACAACAATGAACTAACACACAATAATGTACATGCAGATCCAAACACTTAATGTGTTTGGTGATATGTAGGTGTACAACAAGGAGCTGGAGAGTGAGTACGGCAACTTTGAAGACTGGCTCCACACTTTCAACTTATACAGAGGGAAGGCTGGGGATGATGATGAACATGCTCTGGATGACGACAGGATTGTTGGCAGATTCAAGGTGGGAAAACACTGAGATAAAACAAGTACGTCCCAACCTACGCTGGCTGACCGAAAATAAGTCGCAGTGCAAAATCACTTCTTTTTTAAACTGTTGTTTTTCTCTGTGTCCCAGGGATCCTTGTGTATGTACAAGCTACCGCTGTCTGAGGAGATCACGAGAGAGGCAGGATTTGATCCTAACATGGGCATGTTCCAGAGCATTCCACACAACGATCCAATTAATGTCCTTGTCCGTGTCTATGTGGTTAGGGTGAGTGACCTCTTTCCCATTGAAATCCATGCTGCAGTTAAACTCTAAACACAATCAAAATAAACAGAATTAAATAAATATACTCGCTAATTTTGCTCTATTCTGTTTTCCTGTGCCGCAGGCTACAGATCTTCATCCTGCAGATATCAATGGGAAGGCCGATCCATACATTATCATCAAGCTGGGAAAGTCAGAGGTCAAGGACAAAGAGAACTACATCTCCAAACAGCTCAATCCTGTGTTTGGCAAGTAAGTTGAGAGAAAGCTTTATTTATTCATTAAGTTAATTTAGTTTTAGTTCCTTGTCATATGTTGTAGAAAAGGAGAAAGAAATTTGTCAAGTGGGGAAAAAAGTCATATTTGCATTTTATTAACTGATTAAAATTAGCAATATCTTGAATGAACCTGAATGTGTTGCCCTTCTTAACTCGTCATTCTTGTTCTCGACTTGTTCTGTTGATTCCCCACTTGTCTGTACTCAGATCATTTGAAATCGAGGCCACTTTCCCCATGGAGTCCATGCTGACGGTGTCCGTGTACGACTGGGACCTGGTCGGCACTGATGACCTGATTGGAGAGACAAAGATTGACCTGGAGAATCGTTTCTACAGCAAATACAGAGCCACCTGTGGCATTTCATCCAGCTACTCTGTGTGAGCGCCCATGTGTTTTTATCCTTTACATGTTTTAACCCAACACCTGTGTTTGCTTTATGAATTATAACTTTCTGCATGCACCACACCACTTTGTTATCTATTGATGTTAGCCATGGATACAATATTTGGCGGGACCCTATGAAGCCCAGTCAGATCCTGATGAAGCTCTGTAAGGAAGGCAAGATCGATGGACCCCATTATGGGCCGGGAGGCAAAGTCAAGGTGGCAAATCGAATCTTCCTGGGGCCTACAGAGATCGAGGATGAAAATGGTGTGGCTGTATTTTTTTTCGTATCAATCATTACTTAACCATCAAAGTAACTGTGATAACGACTGTAAAACCATATATACAGGTGATTAGTAGTCAAAGTAGAAAGTGTCAAAGTAGTGACAGTGTTGAAGTTGTGAGTACCTCTACCGCAATCTTTGTTTTGGTTTTTTGTTGCAAAGAAAAGTTAAAAAAAGCAATATCCCTCACACAATCAAACATATTTCCCATGAGATCCAGCTCAGTGCTATAATCAAGGTAGAGTAGACAGGAGTAGAACTGCACATTAAGAGGACCTTTTGGCTACATCTGGTCGTCTACTGAGGATGCCAGCACGTCTGGTGAGATGTTGATATGACATAAAGGTCATCAGATGTTGCCAATCATTTTAGCAGTAATCTCATTTGTTTACATTAAGATCGGGCTATAAATAAATATAATATATAGATAAAACTGGTACAGCTGTTTTGCATGTCCCTTCCCTTCTTTATCTCCTTTTGCTTGTGTCGATATTCCAGGTCTGAAGAAGCAGACTGAGGAGCATTTGGCCCTAACAGTGCTGAACCACTGGGAGGAGATCCCGAGGGTGGGCTGCAAGCTCGTCCCTGAACACGTGGAGACCAGACCACTGCTGAACCCCGACAAGCCCGGCATCGAACAGGTAGAGCCCACCCTTTGTCTATAGTCATGAAACAGATTGAAATCATACAGTAGTTAAGCGGTTCCTTTACCTCTGTGCATATAAAGGGCCGTATTGAGATGTGGGTGGACATGTTTCCTATGGACATGCCTGCTCCTGGACCTGCGATTGACATATCACCACGGAAACCAAAGAGGTAGGCGCAGAGCAAATAAGACAAATATCAGTCTGAATATGATGAAAAATAATTGAATCCTATGCAAATTTTATGGGGAACATTTGTTAATTACATTCAAAGTTTTTTCAACAGACTATTTATAGTTCTATCCCGAGGTTAAGTGATGGTGAGTCTGTTTGACTAGTTAGCTCTCTATGTACTGTCATATATAAGTCCAACTGTGTGTGTATGTGTTCCTTCCTCCTCCCCTTACCAGATATGAGCTCAGGGTGATTATTTGGAATACAGACGAAGTAATACTGGAGGACGATGATTACTTCACTGGGGAAAAGTCCAGTGACATATTTGTCAGGGGGTAGGTACAGAGGGACGTGGCGACCAAGCCTTGTCCCGTGGGTGTGAGCTGTGTGTGGACTTTTTTTTTGTTGCAGTTAATCATTGTTTTTTTTGTTTGTTTTGTTTCCATTTTTTTCTGTGTGCGTTTTCTTGTGTCGTTTGTCGCGTCTGTCTTTGTGTTTGTGGTGTGTCTCCTGTCTGTCTCTCTGTCGTCCTCTCTCTCTCCTCTGGGCAATGCTGTGCTGGTGTCTAGCTTTGAGCTTCGTGTTGTTATTTGGAACACTGATGACGTAATTCTAGAGGACGATGCTTTCATGACAGGAGAGAAGATGTCTGACATCTATGTCAGGGGGTAAACACAAACGACTCCATCGCATGGCTCGTACAACAACCTCCCTTACTCCTTCCTGAAGCACTGATGTCATTTCCTTCTCCCCTTTCCCACTTCCTGTCGCAACTCTCCATCCGGCACGAAATCTCGCTTGTTTTAAACTCTCCAAAAAGCACGCTGAAAATTATTGCCCACTCAAAAATGAGTTAAATCAGGATCAAACCACATAAACAACTTGAACAAAATTATAATTGTACTTATTGTATATATGCCAAAACAATCACAGCAAAAATTCACAGATACGCTGAGATTGTTGAGATTGAAAGTTCGTTCATGACCTTGGAAACAGCAGAAACCTTTTAGCTAACATGGACACGAAGTGCTCAGAGGAACATCTATATTATCATGACAATTCAAATGAGCAACTCTATCTGCTGATGAAGTATTTTTGGTGTGTTTTTGTTTTTATGCTGCCTTGCTATTAAAAGAAATTCCTCTTTTAAGACAATAAAGATCTGAACTGAGCTAAACTGTTCAGTTGTTGTAGTTTTGTCAACTTCAGATATGTTTAACAAAAAAGGAGCTTTTATCTCATGGTGTTACGTAATCAGTGGATGGAGTTTGCTCAATTTTCTTCTTTTTTTTGAAAACTACAATTTTCTTTTTTGTCAAAGTAGGATTTTGTTTTATCTTTTTTAAACTACCATTTTAATTTGGTCAAACTAGCATTTTCTTTTCATTTTTTTTGTCAAACTACTATTTCCAATGTCAAGAGTGCTTTTATACTTTAAATGTTTTGCTATATGTTTTGTTCAAAGGTTGGTGGTTTGATCCTGTATTGTAGATTTGACTGGAACTTACTTTATATAAAGAATGTAATTGTAATGTATTTTGTAATTTTTAAAATTTTTAAAAAAATGTATTTAAATGTTTGGAGCCTCTTGCATGTAAATAAGAAAAAAATATGCATGGCAATGCGACAGAGCTCCAGTGTTTTTAATTGCATTGTCATGTTGCAGCCTGGTCCCAATACTGGACCTTCTTCATGGCAAACATTTTGACTTGTTATAAGGTGCAACTAAATTAGTTTTCCAACCAATGAAATTGCCTTACACCAAACTCACAACAAATAATGTGGTGTTGTTCAGATGTGGATAAAAAATAAACAATGAACTAATATGATTACAAAATATAAGCAGTCCGAGAGCAATGCTGTAGTTTGCAGTAGTGTAGTATTGGCAAGGAAGTTGCACCAAAACAAGGAATGCGTGCCTGAATTAATTTATCTTATGAACTATAATTAAAGTGATAGAAGACGTGGCAAATATTCACAAGATGGAGGCGTAATGTTACTATACCCATGGTAGAAAAAGCACAGGTGAAACTAATAACATTAATAGTGTCTCATTCTATTAAGTGTCCCAATAAGCTATGGCAGCACAGCAAGCACAATAATACCAGTTCCTTGGAACGGACACTTAAATATAATGCAGCCATTATTTATGTTTTTAATTGTACCTGTGCTTTTTTCTACAATGAAAAAGGTCAATAATGAGTTTGAAATTTTATTCCTGTTAAAAGTTCTTAATGTCAGTGTTTTGCGGAGCCTCTTCACTCCTGCATCTCTTAACCAAAAACACTTCTCCCTCAGCCGACGAGGGTATGTCACCTCAGGAGTGCACTGTAACAAACGGGGGGCCATCCTCAAACAACCCTAAATACTTGGAGGATGTTATATGCTAGAAATCAAGACCTATATTCAGTGCTGTACAGTTAGGTGGCTTGCACAATTGTCTGCATTTTCAGTGAAGACAGGTGGAAGGGATTGTTTCAGATGGGTCCAGTGTTGTGATACAGTGATCACGTGTGATCATGCATGTTTTAGTGACATTGCGTCCGCAAGCTGAAACTTCCCAATACTTTCTCACCTTAATCCCAGCCTAAATTATGCTAGTGCATCTCAGTTACCAAAACATAGCATATTCCCTCACATTTTTTAGGATTTACTAAGACTTTCTATGCTGACATTCCCTTGTTGTCAGTGTTTTTTTTTTTTTTCATATTTTCAGTTGCGTTTTGAGAACTGAGACTGCAGCTTCCCTCCTGTTCCTCCTCACTTAGGAAGCCAGACTCACTCAACTGTTACTGAAAGAGCACAGGCTTTGACCTTGTGCTATCTGCGTCCAGACACTGAAAGATAGAAAGTTTATTTTAAGGAAAATTTCAGATAATTTTAATTTATGGTATTTTTGGCGAGCTTTGTGTATGCATGGCTTTGAAAGTAGTGTGAAGCTCCAACATCAAATCAGATTTTTATGTATCATTCAACAACATCTGGTTTGTTTTTGGGGAGCCACATTATATGTTTTGATTTTGACCTATTAACCATCATCTCTCTTGTTAGCAAACTGGTACATTTAACATGTCCTATGCTCTTGTTTAAATCAACCAAATTAATATACAGTAATTAACAGACAATTGCAATGTCCTACATGTTAGGCCTTAGAAGTGCATGACTGACAAAATTAAACAATAAAATCTATGCACTCATCCCACCAAACAATGAGCCTAAAGGTCAACCTTACTCTGATCTCGGTGGCCTTTCCCACAGATGGCTGAAAGGACAGCAGGAGGACAAGCAGGACACAGATGTGCACTATCACTCCCTGACTGGTGAGGGCAACTTTAACTGGCGCTTTGTCTTCCCCTTCGATTACCTCATGGCTGAGGAGAAGATCGTCATCTCTAAGAAAGAGTCCATGTTCTCCTGGGATGAGACTGAATATAAGATCCCTCCTCGCCTCACGCTGCAGGTCTGGGACGCCGACCACTTCTCTGCTGATGACTTTCTGGGTGAGGACTGATGGGAACTTTTCATGTGATTTACCACAAAAAAAATTATGCCAAAATATCACCATCTTTATTGTCTGACTGCTCCCAGGTGCGATTGAGTTGGACCTAAACCGGTTCCCTCGTGGCGCCAAGACCGCCAAGCAGTGTTCCCTTGACATGATCCGAAATGAGCAGGAGCTGCCCACCATTTCCATCTTCAAACAAAAAAGGGTCAAGGGCTGGTGGCCGTTTGTAGCCCGAGATGAGAACGATGAGATGGAGCTCACGGTAAGTCAGCCACAAAATACTGAGCATGAGCAAAGTCACAACTGCAGTTTGGCACCACATAGTTAGAAAGCCACCTTCAACGTAGTAAAAGCTGAAATAAAACAACAGTAAAGCAAACACTAACCCTAACATAAAAGCATGCAATACATGTAGGAAAAACTTATTACAAAGCAAATTCCAAAGGGTCCAAAGAAATTAATTTTGTCAGATTTCTCCAATTGTTGTTTGTCACGATCTTCTAACTTACACTACCCTCATTTCCATTATAGCAGTCTTCTATTTGCGGCACCATTTAAGACACTTGTAAAACACTGTTTATTACACAAATTGTATATATGTTTTGTATGTATATATGTAAATAACTGCATATATTTCTTGAGCTTATATTTTTATTTTCTTATTTGGCTCTATTTTTATTAGTGCAATTCTATTGCCTCTTTTATTATTTTTCTCTTTTCTAGTTCAATTATTTGAATATGAGTTTATACATTTTCTCTGTGTGTGTATCATGGGGGGCCACAACTACTACTAAGTGATGGTACTTCTTCAGGGCTCTAAAAATCTTTCAAATAAAAAAAAAACTGGTTTAAATGCTCCTAACTTATGTACACATTGACGCGTTAGCCTATAATGAGGAGTCACAGGTAGACAATACTTCAATGTGAGAGGTCAAAAATTATGGGAAACCACTGTATTCCTTTATACAGATAATATTAACATCCCATATGTTAAGATCAAAAGTCAGGTATCTGTATATAGATGCCTAGACTCAACGTGTCTAGCTGATTGATTAATATAAATGTTGTCGATGTGTTATTAAACATATTTTGTCATTGCAGGGTAAGGTAGAAGCTGAACTTCATCTGGTGACAGCAGAAGAGGCGGAGAAAAGTCCTGTTGGACTGGGACGAAATGAGCCGGATCCACTGGAGAAACCAAAGTAAGACATTGACATATTTATCCACAGTGTATGTAGAATCGAGCTTTCTCAGACACACTTGTTTCACAAATATAATTTCAGAATGGTTGTGTGAAGAAAGAAAAAAAGTGCAGACATGACCCTTAAATCTCCTCTTCAGGAAAATCATTCTCAGTGCAAAAAGCAGCGGATCAAATGTTGTGTTACAGATCACCACCAATCAGGCTTATATTATATAATATTTTGATTATATGATATGTGATTTGGTCTTGTTTGAACCTGTCACTGCTTTTTGCACTGTCAGAAGGCCTCTGTTACACTTTCACACACGTTTCTCCTCCTACCATCTCTTCAACTGTCTCCCTCTGTCTCTCCCCTCCCCTCTTTTCTGCGTGTGACTCCCCCTTTCTCCTTACCCTTTCTCCCCGTTTTTGCCCTCCATCTGCATTCCTTTCTTTTCTTCCCTCTCTACCTCCTTTTGCAAAGTCGCCCGGACACCAGTCTTATGTGGTTTCTGGGCCCTCTGAAGTCCATTCGTTACTTCATCTGGCACAACTACCGCTGGCTGATCCTCAAGGTCCTGGGCCTGATACTGCTGCTGCTCATGCTGGGCCTCTTCCTCTACTCAATCCCTGGCTACCTGGTCAAGAAGATACTGGGGGCCTGATGAGCTGGTAGCCTCCGCCCCCTCCTCGCTGTCTCTGCTTATTTATTTAACCCCTTTGCTTCCTGGATTCTCCTGTCGTACCTGTAGCTCCTCCTCTCCTGTCCCGCCAAAACTCAGTTTCTTTGTAGTCTCTCCCTTTGCTCTCCTCTGTTGTCTCAGCTATAGAATAGTCTCTGTTGTGTATCCTTTGCTGTATTCTTGTCTCAACCTTTTGCGCAAGCCAATATCTTTTGCCATCTTAGAAGTGACCAACTGTTTGGTATGGAAACACAAAGGGTCGTTTTTACACATTGGAGAGCCACCAAATGCCGAGTTCACGTCACATGGGATGGATGTAGATATGGGAAAGATTTCCATGCAACTTGCGAGCATTCGCATCTTTGGGCAAAACAAGATGTTTGTATATCAGTTGTGTGAGGATTAAAAATACTGTGTACTGAAAATATAACACAATACTCATAATAATATTATGTAATTATAAAATATAAGAACAAACATTGAACGACAGACTTTAGCTGACAGGCAGCCTTGTTTGTTTGATTTTTGTATGCCAGATCGGATTTATGGAAATACCCAGAAAGGTCTGAGTTTCCAAGTCATAATTACAACTTGGATGTTGACATGAACACTAATGTGACATAAACGCAGCATAAGGCGCCACTTCGAGAGGACATTTTATGTAATTCATTTCAGATGCACAGTCTAAATTTAGAATTGTGACTCTACAAAATATTGCAAAAGCAGTGTTTGTTCAGGATGTGACGGCAAGGGCCAGTGAGTGATGAGAGCAGAGCTGCCTACATTTTACATTTCAATTTTAGTTGCCATATTATCTCATATATGTACTTTTACATACATGTACATGATAAGTCAACATGCAAACAAATAATTAAGCTCTCCCATACAAAACACTTCACAAACACGAGGACACTGTGACATACTGTGAGTGGTGAAGCAAGTTTTATTTATTTATTTCAAATGCAGAGCTGTAGGTCTCATATGTAAATTGCTTTAATAATGTGCATTTTAGGGGAATAAATAATCAAAAATTAAGATGAATTTAAGTAAATATGTAATATGTTAAATATGTGGTCACTGAATACTGTTTTAATCACACAGGATTATGAATCACTATTTTACATATCATATCCTGAATGTTATTTTTTTATCTATTAACTACTAATGGGAATACTGCGTGTGACATGATGGGTGACAGGTTAAGTTGAATTAAACTAAAATACATTTAAATTGTTACTAAGATAAGATATCACTAAGCTCAATCCCCCCAGAGGTGCGATGTGCGCCTGGTTAAAGGCACCAAAATGGCCAGAAACAAACTGCCATGGAAAAACATCAGTGTTGCAGCTGTTGGTCAACCATCCATCCATCATATGTTTTTTATTGTTCATCTTTAACTTTGTGATGTGATCTATTAGTCCTCTCGAACATTATGTTGATAGAAATGTTGTGAGCATGTTGTAGTGAAAGATAATACTCATAAATGCAGCTTACTAACCGCTAATGCCAGCTTTCTCTCTCTCTCTCTCTCTCTCTCTCTCTCTCTCTTACTCGTCCCATGTTTCATCCCGTTTCTCTCTCCCCATCACTCACCCCTTCATTAACTCCCTTCTCCATCCAACTGCATGCCTTCTTCATCAAATTCGTTACTTCATCCCTCCCTCCAGTCGCCCAGACACTACCTTCCTGTGGTTCCTGAGCCCGCTGAAAGCCATCCGCTACCTGGTGTGCAACCGCTACAAGTGGCTGATCATCAAGATCGTGCTGGCCCTACTGCTGCTCATCATGCTGGGCCTCTTCCTCTACAGCATGCCGGGCTACCTTGTTAAGAAACTGCTGGGGGCCTGAGAAGCTGCTGGGCGGGGGGTGGGGGGGGGGTCAGCCAGATACATGCGACGATGGATGGATGGGAGAATGAGGGGGACACAGAGGGCAGACGCTGGCTTGCAGGCGCAAACCAGAAGGACAGCATGAGGTGTCTCCCTCAGTCTAACTCACAAGGAAGAGAAGCAGGGGGAGGAGAAGGTGCTGTGGAACTCCTCTCTTATCCATTCTGATCGTCACAAATAGCTCACCACCTTCCACCTTAGCTCTGACAGACCCACCCCTCAAAAAAGAAATGAGAAACACTAACTGTCTAATCATCTAACAAGTCTAATACTCCATCCTTGAACTGAACTAAAAAGCAATCACTTTCCCACAAAGTAACACCTTTTTCTTTTCAAGCAATGTTACATGACAGTGAATGTTTCTTAAACTGTTTATACAGCTTATTAAGCTAAAATCGGTTGTTGTGTGGTCAGACGATTGCATGGAAATTCATTTCAAGTGATGCTATAAGATATTTCATTACTGCTACAACAATTGCGGTTGATTTATATAATATGGAAGAAAAGGAACAATATTTTTGGCAAAACTTTGTTATCCACCCCCCCCCAAAGTATTTAGCATGTCTAAGCACTATATATACAATTAATAAATGAAAGCAGATATAATGACATTTTAAGTGTTTATTAATGTACAGTACTTGTCAGCTATTCTAACTTCTCCTGTGAAGACTGTGTTTTACTCTGTTTACACAGCCTCCACTTATGGGTGCCCACAAGAGGAGCTGTAGTTGAGAAATACATGAATAAACACTTAAATCTGCTTATAACTAAATTATCATTCATTCAGTGCTTATGTACTCCTCATAAATGCTGACTATGTGGGTTAAAGCAAAGTGTTACCATGTTATAAAAACTATTATAGCTCTTGCTGTCTTTGCACATTTCAAGAATAATAATGAAGAAACAAAAGATGTCTATTTTCTTAATGAAATTCAATGAGACATAGAACAAGTTGACTTCAGAATAACTTAAATAATGAATAAGCCTTCTACGGGGGTTTAGTTAAACTGCAACGCTAAATGTTTAATCCCTTGGGTCAAAGCTATCAAGTCAGACTTGAATCAAACTGTATTTGCAAGTAATTATTATGACAAACTGTTTTATCCCTTTTTTTTCTAATTAATATGTAGATGTAAAAGCGCAGCTCAGCCAATTCTCTCAGAATGCTTCGTTAGTATTCCCATATTTGTGCAAGTGTGTAAATGCTCTTCAGTTCACGGTCCTGGGTCAGAATCCCTGCTGAAAAAAACCCTCACAGGAGACAAATAATTTGCAAATATCATTAGACTAAGTCTAATTGAAAAGTTACTGTTTTCGACCAAAAAGGATTCTTTATGTCAATAAGCATGCATCATTGTGATAACTGACCACAGAGGTCATGTGTTGGCATGAATGTCTTTCCGGCTCGACACAAACCACATCAACAACCCTGTTATCTTGCACTTAGGTAGAGTAGTAAAAGAGGGTCGGGGTTGATCTCCTATAAGGTGGTTGTTTGCAGTGTCCGTTACTCCCCTTCAGATTTGCCTGTGCGTGACCTCATCTGTGTTGCAGTCTTTGTGACTATATGTTTCACCAATTACAGTTATTGTTTGCACTAAATCTGCCTGTTTTTACAATGAATTTGTGTTTGTATATCTGTGTAAATGTGTGCAATATTTATTTTCTGCCTGTTTTTGGCAATTTGAAATAAATTGAATTCTATGGACAACATGTTTGAGATCACTGAAGCGGCTATAATCAACATTTTGATATTCACAAGGGATCATGACTATTTGTATGTGAAAGGGGTCACTCAGAGTGATGAACCCACAGATGGTTACCACCTGAATCTGCAGTTCCCCTTTAGTTCTACCTACTGTAGCTTTAAAGCATTCTTTTCAGCTCATTGTTCATTTCACTCACATAGCATTGTTTTCTGTGTTAACTGAGCAAACAAGCTCTAAAAACCCCACTACACATTACCTGCTACCTCCCCAGCACCGAGTGGCAGACAAAGTTAGCGACTAGTGTGTGAATATAGTGCAGCATTTAGCAGCTAAAGAGCTCCATTTGGGCCTAACTAATTCATTGCATAAGGGATAGTCCCTGATGGTTCCTATAAAATTTTCCCAGAGAGGTGGGTGTGTGCTGCTCTTTATCAGTCTTTATCAGTGACCAAAACATTAGTTGTAGGTCTTGAAGTGACCTTTGGTACTCTTTGCATGGAAACAATGGAAATTTTATCTCTGAATCTCTCTGTGCAGTCGTCCCAGTGGCAGCATGTCGTGGCTGCTGAGCCCGATAAGGACGGTGTGTATCCTGGCCTGGAGACACTACAAGCTGCACTGTGCGGTGCTGCTGGCTGCGGCGCTGGGCCTGCTCTTCCTGGCTCTGCTCTTCTTCTCTCTGCCCTCAGAGCTCAGCCACAAGCTCTTCAACAATGCTGGATAAAACCACTGTATGTCTCTGTACTTATTATGTATTACACGTTGTATCCCACGGAAACTGTTTTTTCTTTGAGGCTGTAAATAAAAACTGCAAACCTAGTCTATTTAATACAGACTTTATTGGGCTGTGAATATAAATCATTTTACAAATACTCTGATGATTCCACATACACACATATTGTCCCAGTTCTGATGATTCCAAGTTGAGTATGGGTTACTGCATCTCCATTTCTGTGCTGACCTATCAGAGAATCAAAGATGTCAGTGATGTTAGAGAAGCACATTTAGACAACTAGACTTAGCACTACTACATCTAGCTCTATTAGATTTATATATTCAGAGAAATAATACACTAGGTCTGTGACTAACAATTGTTTAATCTGCAGATTATTTTATGGTCAATTGATTAATCTCTTTGGTCTATAAAATGTCAGAAAATAATGAAAGATGTGCATCACAGGTTTTTACTCCCAGTTGCTTGTTTTGCCAGTCTGAAACCCAAAGATATTCAATTTATTACTAAACCGTGACAAAAAAGCAGAAAATTTTCACATTAATCAATCATCTTAATTTTCTGTCAATTTACTTAATTGATTAACCAATAAAGCTTTAGAATAAATTTGTAAAATTAAACATTTTAAAGGAACTCATCCTGGCAAAACCTTTTTTTCACCTGTTCTTAAGTCATAAACACAGGAGAGAAAACAATTTAGATCAGACTTACAAAATGGATTTACCAGAACTTTTTTTTTCTCACTTGCCTCTCAGGGTAGTGACACATACAAAAAAAACTATAACAGAGACATGAACACATACCCTTGAGTTGAGGGACTGCTGCAGCAGCATCCTCAGCTCTGTGTTCTGCTGCTCCAGACTCTGAGTCTCAGGAACAAGCTCACAGATCTCCATCAGGACCGCACTGGAAACACAGAAGAAAAAAATAACACTCATTTGAGTACAGATGGTGTTGGGTTGTGTGTGTATGGTTGTTACTCACTGGTACTTCTTTAGTGTGTTCTCCGCTGCGTCCCAGAGTTTCAGTCTGTCCTCAGAGATTATATTGCCCATACTCTCCCAGTAGGCTTCATCCTCTGAAGTATCCCGAGCTTCTGAATGGTGAAAACTGGGATTTTGGCGGGTTGAGCTGTTCCTTAGAAAGTACCAGGAACACACTGGCATCACATAGTCATATAGACAATTGTATCACATCATTTCATGTTCAAATCACACAGCCTAATTAACAAGCATACTACAGCCTTTGTTTCCATGGAGATACGTACATAATAAGTGGTTTAAATGATGGTTGTCTATTTCAGTAAAAGCGTTACCTGGACCTCACAAGCTGCTCAAGGAAACTTTTTAGAGCAGGCACAACATGGATAGGATCAATGATGTCAGAGGTCAGATGACCTGTAGAGTTGGTCTCCACCTCCTCTGCCTTGTCGTTCGATTCACCCGACTCAACACAAACATCCTGCAGGCACACAAAACACTGGTAGAAGATGCAGAAATATTAACGGTCTAATTACATCATCTTGTTTTCCAAATGGAAATGGCATCCATCTACCCACTTCACTCCTCGCATCTCTTTCCCTCCTCACCTTAGTCTGCTCTCTCTGCTGATGTTTGTACTTAAATAAGAAATGGGCCAACTTGGGCACATCCTCCTCTTCAATGCCAAAAGTCTGCAAAAGGAAACAACATGTTTGGGTGTTGGGGATTCGCTGCATTCAGTCGAACAATGTGCTGATGCACTACGCTACATGAACTCACATTAAGGAGGGAGCCCAGTTTCACAACAGTCTGTTCTTCTTTCTCCAGGGGAGTCAGCAGTTTAAGGAGTTTATCGTCCATGAGGAAGCCCTGAGATAGGAAGTTGAAGATGCTTGTCACATAAATTCATAGTATTTTATTTTTGTGCCCTTGTGACTAATACTCATTAACTTCACACCCCAACATTAGCATTTTGACTAAGGAAAACTTTATTACACTGATTAAGCTAATTTATTCACCCTTACTTTGACATACATATACTGTATGTAACGCATTCACAAACACACACAAACAACTTCAGCTTGCCAGGAGAGCCTTTCAAGTAACCCACGACTCATCTGCAAGCTTCACAGCAGCAGGTTGGGGCACATTTAAAGGGCATCTAGAAAACTGCAGCTAACATTCAACCCCTAAATCAACAGGTAATTTTGTGTTATTATCCCTACACTGCAGCTCAACAATGAAACACTGTCCAGGGAAACACAAAGAGGGAACTTCATGCAAAGAGGACAAACTTCTGAAGATACCAACTAACTCTAATTAGTGTGGGTTAGACTGATTTTTCTAACTCAGACTGGTGGATGTTGTCCCCCACCTCTTCTATTGGAAGCACATCAGAAAAGGATATTTCAGTGACCAGTATGAACAGGAGGAAAGATTAAAACAAGCAGAACCAGCTTCAGTGTTTAATGGGCCCCTGACTATTGTTTTAAGACAGACTTGAACAATTGTGAACCTATCCTATAATTGTTCAAAATTTTAGAAAATATACTTTTTTATTTATTATTTTTATTATAGTTTCTTGCCGAGAGTTGGATGAGAAGAATGATGAAGCTGGAGCCAGAACACAGTTAGCTTAGCTTAGCATAAAGACTGGAAACAGGGGGAAACAGCTAGCTGGCTCTGCCCAAAGGCAACAACATCTATTAAAACTATTTAACAGACAACAGAGTTGTATTAACCTTTTCATCAAAGTCTCAGGATATAAAGTGTATCTCCCTAAATGTCTTAACTATTTCATTAATATAATATATACACTAAGATGCATATGGTCTCCTTTTAGTGTATAAAACATGAATCTTGGACTTTTTTCTCACCGCCTCATCACACAGAAGCTCCATCACTTTCTTCATTGTCTCGATTGACAGCTTCTCCTCCTCCACCTCTGCACCGCTCTCACTCTGAACTGCTGTCTCCTCCTTGTACATTTCCATGTCCATGCTCTCAGTGTCAGTCTCCAGCCTAGGGCCAACTGAGGCGTCCATCATTCTCTCATTACTTTGTAAAGCCTGCTCGGTGTGAAACAACGGGGAGACACCCTGGCGGGCAGGTCTCCAGGCCTGTTTCTGAGGCTGGATGGGACCAGAGAGCTCCATGAAGGCCATAGAAGGTCGCTCCCAGGCTAAACCAAGGTGCTGCTTGCAGATCAATGAGTCAATGACCAAAGCCCTCTCCACTAGCTGCTTCATCTCTGCTTCTATCATTAGCCACATCTCCTCAAATTTTCTGACATCTGCGACGGCAAAGTGTCTGCATGAAGTGAAGGACGAGTTAAGATGTATAGGAAGTTAACCATACAGTATGTCAGTGGTACTTTAAGGTGATAATTATGACTCACTGGATCTTCTTCTGTATTCGTTCATATTGCTGGATGTTGCGTTTGTAGTCCTCTGACAAATACCGGCTCCTCTTTGTAAACTGTTTCTCCTCACTGGTATACGTAGTCATTAGGTTTTTCATCTCTGTCTGCAGACTGAAACAAAAAGTAAATTAATTAAATATAACTCTGTGTGTGTGAGAGAGAGACAGAGAAAGAGAGAAATTGAGAAAATCTATACTACCTGATGATCCTGCTTTTCATATGGGCCAGGCTGAATTTCTGCACTGCTACCTCATCCTTTTGCTTTATTTGTTTTAGCTTCACGATCATGCTGGTGGCCTTCGTCTGTTGATGCTCTCTCTCCAGAACCTGCAGAGGCGAGACTGGGATTTAGGGCCTTCAACAATCCCCACCACCATCTACCAGTGGTGGAAAGTTACTACTGGTAAGTACATTTAATCAAGTATTGTACTTTAGTACAATTTTGACTCCAAATAAATCAATTTGATTTAATCACATTAAATCAAATACACTGAATTGTATTAAATTACAGTTTTTCTCAGTCGCTTTGCATTTCTCAGATCAGAATTGAAATTCTCAACACTAATTGTTCAACTTCCACATCATCTCGTCACTTGTGCACATCATAAAAGCACTTTCTCATTGTTTTGAACAAATTGCAAATTACTTGACAAACTTATGCAAATAATTATGTACAATTGTCTGCTGTTTCCGACATTATCATTTGCTTATGTCCTGCTGATTACAATGAATTATACCAGTCTCTGTTGAACAATCTTACCCCCCAAAACATCTAGGCATAAGTTCATTGCATTTGTCACTACATGCAAAATGGTTGAACACGTTATCAAAAATACTTTATTCATATCCTTTGCCTACAAGTATATAGCTAAATGAAATGTTTGTTTCTTAAGGACCGTGCTTTACAGTAATGTGAGCATGTGAAACAGTCTTTTCATAAGAACTTTGTTGAAGAGGATTATGAAAAATATAAAAAAGAAAAATTTTGCCTTCAGTGACAATTGAGCACACAACCTTAAACCTATAAGTCCTATGCTCTACCAAGTGAGCTAACCAATGATACAACAAACCACACTATAATTACCATTATGGTTATCTCAAAATCACGAGAAAATGATGAGTAAAAAAATATTTGATTAGGGCTTCCGTATATATATATGAATGTGCATGTCCATTAGAATTTTTTTGTAAATGTGTCCTGAATTGATGAAGATATCTGTTGTGATGTGGAAGAGAATCTGTGATACAACAGGCAACAGTCCTGTCTCTTTCTTTTCTTCTTACAATGACATGCTCTGTCAACAAATTACAGTACGAACAGTAAAAGAATAGCTGTGATTCCTGTCCCCTCTCCTGCAATGTATAACTTTGTACTGCTGAAAGTGATATATACCAAAAAAAGCGCAGCCATGTGCATTTTCAATCATTGACATCAAAATGTTAGCCAAAGCATACAGTACATCAGAAAATACTTACAGACTACACTGTTATATTGACAAGATGGCTAAACATTTTGACTTGCTTGTTCATAAACAAGACACAAGGACTTGTCGTTCTGATGGCACTGACAAGTTCAATGACATAAAGATTTGCTTCTGAGAGACAGACTAAGGATTTTGAGCAAGTTATGGGCTTTTGCAGGTAACCAACTGTGTTGTGCCGTTTATACTAGCTGTTTCGAGAAATGCACTTACTGTCTTGCAAATGTTAAGGATGATTCGAGAAATGTACCAAAGCAACTGAGAAAAACTGTAATTTAAGTTAATTTAATTTAAATGCATAAACTTGAATACATTTAATTGAATCAACTCAAAAATTAATGTTAATTAACTTAAATACATTTAATTTAATTAAAATAAATAACCTTTAATGCATCACTAATGATAATCAAATAATCTACTATACATTATTCTAACATAGACCATTCTTCATAATAAGCACTTTTACTTTTGATACTTTAAGTATATTTGTATGCTAATACTTTTGTACTTTTACTTGTTACAGAGTATTTCTACACTACTTACTTACTTTTACTTACATTTAAGATTTGAGTACTTCTGCTATTTTACAGGTTTCTAAAGCTTTTCTTTATCATTCCAATTTAAATAAACATCAAAGGAAATTGCTGGGTTTATCAGGACCACACTTTAGATAAGATAGAGCTCATAGCACAAAAGCTTAATTCAAAAGATAAGCTTTCGAGGTGCATCTTCATATTTGTGCAAACCTGCCACTTTGCATTCTGTTCTAGCTGGATGACGCTGTACTTGTCGGTAGTCTCCAACATCAGATTGTGAATTATCGCTTCATACTCCTCCACTTTCTTCTTCCTCTGCATCAGCCTCTCCAGCTAGAAATAGATTAGATTTCATTAGATACAGAGTTGAGTCTGTGAGTATGACTCTGTGTGTGTGTTGGTTTTTTATTTCAGTTATCCTGACCTCTTTATTCCAAAGTTCCTTCATGTATTGTTCCCATTCGGTCTTGTCTCTTGTGAGTAAGACTTCACTTTCCTGCTGATAAACTCTCTACCAACAACACAAGTGTAACCATTAGTAAGAATGACAACAGTGGCATAAACAACACTAAAAGTCTACATCCATGCTAGTGACTCTGTAAGTCTGTAATTAGGAAAAGCTCTGTTTTGGGCTAAATGCTAACTTTAGCATGTTAACATGCTCACAATGAAAGCGCTAACATGCTAATTTTCAGTAGGTATAGTGTTTTGCATGTTCATCATTTTAGTTCTGTGTGTTAGCGTGCTAACATTTTCTGATTAGCACTAAACACAAGTACAGATGAGTCTGAGAGTTTTACAGGTATTCGGTCATAAACCAAAATGTTGGACATTAAACTTTCGAGGTGATGATGGCACTAGATAAAATGTCAGGGAATCACCAAAGTCATTAGCATTCACTCTGGGTTCCATGAATGTCTTTACAAAATTTTATGGCAATCCTTCTAGATGTTCATAGATATTTCAGTGACAATTCATTCCATGTTGCTCACTGATGCAAAAATCCTCACCCATCTGATTCTCCTTGCAGATTGACTCTGAATGAATTATTTCAAGCTGTGTCTTGACCCAGATCTTGTCCTACCTCAATATGGGCCAGTTCTTCCCTGTAGGCCTTTGTCAGGGTTTTGATCTGGTCCTCCATCCTCTCCATCATCAGGTCCAGCTCCTCTGCCTGCTTCCTCAAGTCCTTCACATAGCGATCATCTCCAACTTTCAGCTCCTGTTCAGACAACACATGGGAAGTCATAAAATGATAGAATGATAGATAGATAGATACATAGATAGATAGATTGATTGATTGATTGATTTACCTGTTGCAGGTCATTTATGAGTTTTTTCTTGTCTTCTATGAGAGTAGCACATAACTGCTGCTGGTTGTTCAGGGCCTCCTGCAGCTCCTGAGGGATCACCTTCTGCTTAGCTATCGACCACTGTCTGGTAATCTCCTCAAATTTTTCACGGCTGGATTTTGCATCATTCTCCAGCCGCTCCAATCTGAACCCAGATGGATAAACATTGTAGCAAAAAGGAGGGAAGATGGACAAAATGGTGTGGAGGATGTAGCAAATAAAACGGCCCTTGGTAGGTTTTATTTTGCATTTAATCTATGTAGTAGGGTTGTTGGTTTTAAACAAAGCATTAGTATAGGAGATAATAGTAGAAAATTACCTAAGTCTGCGAGCTTCCTCCAACTCTGTCCTTCGTATCGACTCTCTGGCGTCAGCTGCAGTTTGGATGTTGGTCACTAATGTCGGCAAATCTCTCTGAAGGCTGATTATCCTTTGAGGAGTGATCAGCTGATTGACAGAGGACAGTTTTTATTCATGTTGTAGTACTGCTAATTAAGATAGTTTTTACCTATGTGTGAGTACAAGTCAGGAAATTGCTGTCAAGTAAAATAGTAGCTCACTATAATCACAATAATATAACCAGTGGTTATTTTTGACTTACCATTACCTATTGCCCATTTTTGGTGGTCATGGATAGAATGGGGTTTTGTCATAAACAATCCTATGTTTATTTCATGGTATTATTAAAGCATTGATATGAAACGTCAAGTCCAGACTGATTTACAAACCGTAAAATGGTTTAAAATAGAAACAAACAATGTTATTATCAGGCAAACTGTTTTAAGGTCTGGGGAAAATATTAGTATAGTAACCACTCAACTGTTTATCATTTATGTTTTGGATGTTTGATTTATAGTGAGTTTAGGCTGTTGATGATATTGTTATTTATTGTTCGCTGGTAGTATGACCTCAAGGACCACAATAGAAAGTTTTCCTTGACATCTATGTAGCTGTGTGTGATTTTATATCGCCCTTCTTGTAATGTCAAATAAACTAAACTAAAATGAGATCAATAATTTCAGATAGAATTACCATTCATCTCTGGCGAACGTGAAATAATTCGTATTATACAATTAAGATGGTGACTTTTGATTAACGAAATTAAGATTAGGGTTTAGAAACTTAGCAAACCTTTTCACCTTCCTCCACCTTCTCCTCTTGAGACTGGCTCTCCAAGGCCTCCTCCTCCTTGACTTCCACACTGGGGTCTTGCTCAGCCTCTTGTGTGGGGACCCTAAAGCTGATGATACACAGGGCAACTTTTTGAGCAATGTTGCTGGGCAGTCTTGCTAGTGGCAAGTCCGACTATGTTTTGAACAGATAGCGTAGTGGTGGGGGAAAGGGATTACGGTAGTAATCATTACTCATTACCATTGACGGCAACGTTGCCCTTCACGATTGCTCTAACAGTTGCTCTGTGTATCATCAGCTTAAGGTGTTACAGTATGTTTAGCTGTTGAAAATTAAGCATGATAAAACTGAAGTGTATTAGGCTACTAACCCATAGATAATAATCATCGCTATTATAAGTAATATGTTTGTTGTTTTTATTATTACAAATAGCCTATCAAGTTCTTGCAGTCCATGCAGCATGAAAAAGTATAAGCTTAGCTATTATTATCATACTAAGCACATTTTTCAGAGTTAGCTAGCCGAGTTACCTGCTCTTAGCCTCCTGATTTTCGGACAACACACAGGGTTCAGACGCCTCTTCTGTATCTTCAATGTCTTCCATATTTAGCATTAAGTTATGTTGTGTGAAAAGTTACTGATAGAAATTGTTAAATGCTGTTGTGATGAAGATATCAAAATGAAGCAGGTCTGGCCGCGGTCTGTTTAGGTAAACGTCGCTATGGCGACAGGGCCATCAGAGGGACTGTGCTGCTTTCAAGGGCCCTTCGTAAGCTCGAAACATGCTTTTATAAATAACAATAAAGACCAACATACAGAAGGCTATATTTAGGTTTGGCTCTTTATGTCTGGTTGTAAGTGCTGCTTTTGTCATAAACTTTTTCTACTGTCAACCTTCTCATCACTTTATTTTAGCTTTGAATCTTAAATGCAAATGTCTTATAGGCCTAATTCTAAACGTTTGAATGAAGAAAATAATAATTCTGTAGATGATCGAGATGCTGATTCACTAATACAGAGCAGGAACACAACATTGACAGGGCTTCAACCATGAGTATGAGGACTATTATAAACGTGTTTTATACAGCAAAAGCAATGTTAACACTGCAGGAGGATCAATGCAGAGAGGGTGAAACACAGATAATGTGGGATGGTTGATGAATCATACATGGCTTGTTGCTGCCATCGAGTGGCAGCATCCTGATTCCAAACCTGTATTTTTAAGTTCAGTACTTGTTTGAGACTGTCTGCACAGAACCAATATTGTCAGTTTTTTCTTTTGTTTTCTTTTCTGTATTTTTTCTTTTCTTTTTTTGTCAGTTCAATGAGAAGGTAAATCAGTTGCATCCATCATTGCCTTGTGTAATAAACTGTGGCCAAAAAAACCCTCACAAATAACGTAGCTACCGTTTTCTGGAAAGGTTTGCTTTCAATTATTGTCTGATAGGCTTCATGATGGGCACTAAGAAAATTAAGGCAAAGAAGTTACATCAACGCATAGACTTTTTACTAAGTGTTTCATATTAAATTCCAGAAGCAGCTACAAATGAGGTATGTCAGGGTAATTTTAAAAAAGTTTATGTGAGTTTCTAAAATCAGCATGATCTGTCAAAACAATGCAAAACATTTATTATTTCAAAGCGACCTTACAGTCTGCAAAAATCATGATAACATATCCCAAACACAGACAAACACTGACAGCGGTCAAAAGTCCAAACAAACAGATATATAATAGATGTGATATAATTGGTTTATACACACAGTAGTATTAATGTGACTGCAATAAAAATTTCCCAATATTGATTGCAGTGTTTACAGTGGGGAAAACTATAACTAAACAGTGAATATTGCTACATGTAAGGGTTTATATTTTCCCAAAAATAAAATCAGGCACTCTTCCTTTCACGCCAAATAAAAAGTGAAAAAAGTTTGTTATTTACTGTTATATTCAGAAGCTGACTTTGGGTGGCGCTACTGTCTCGTGATGAAAATCCTATTCATGTTCCACGAACTGAGATGCTTGAAATGTTTCATTTTTGACATGATACATGTAAATACATGCAGATTAAATACATGCACACGCACACACTCCTCACAAATGATAAATGTCTTCTCAAGCTGATGGCAAGATGGGCACTCTCGCTGTCCACACAAACGCATCCACACGTGGTTCAGATGTTCCTGCCCTAAGAAGTGCCCTCCACGCTTCCTGCCTGTTTGGCAGCTCTCATGCTCGCCCTCACCCCCCAGGGGCACCACGCCGCTCTTTTGGCCTCAAGTGGCCTCTGTTGCCACTGAGCCACAATGAATGTAAGTCAGCCAGCAATGGTTTCTGACATATGATCCAGCATCTGTGATGTCACCAACAGCTGACTTGTCATAAGACCTTTGTGAAAGGGGGGAAGCAAGGGATGAATGAGGAGAAGGCCTTATTTTCAACAGACCTTTAGCTGGAATGCTGAGTGCTTTTGCATGAAGCTGTTGAGATTACAAACTGAATGACTGCCATTAGAGAGTGATTCTATAATCTATCATAATACCATAAGCTCGGGATTGACAGACTTTGACCCCACTCGCAGGTGTATAATAAGCCCCATTCATTCTGAATATACTCTGTGAGAGAGGGTACGTGTGTGTGTGTCTGCTAATTCCTACCCCCAGGGGCATATGTTTACTCCTTGTTCAACAAAGCATCATATTCATTGCTCAGGGGTTGAGAGGTGCATAATCTAAGCCTGACCTTCAGCCAGTTAACTAACTGACAGCTTACAGTGTTGTTGGTGATGGGGGGTTGCATAACAACTTAAGTCCTGACTAACAGTTTCTTAATATTGCCATAACGAAGGAGATATTTGCTACTTTCCAACATTGGATGCACTGCGCTGACTACAGAAGAGGGTACGGTGATTGTAGAGGACAGCAATTCAGAGGCATTTAGTCTAGAAGAGGATGTGACCTTGTCCAAGAACAAAACAGTCATTTAACAAGAATTACATTTAATAAATGAAAACTGAAGGCCAGATTCAGGCACAACATGAAGAGCATCCCTTACTCTTCTATCAAATATGAAATGTACTGACCTTGTGTCAAGGTAACTTTTACAAAGTATGTTTTTGCCATCTGCTGGAGTATCTATTGCAAACAAGCACACAGATTTTTTTCCCGCATTACCCTGTTACCTCTAAGCCTTTAAACATTTAGAGAACACAGATGCAGATATGCAGAGAGAGGCTAAATCTTTTCATATGTTGGCCTGGATATTTGTTGTGGAAAATAAAATGATCTCAAGGTCGGTGCAGTGGAAGCCACTTTTCAATCTCTTACTTCTGAGGAGAGTTTGTGTCATCATTTGGGCACTCAACAATGCTCAGTTCTACTTCAGCCATGTCATGCTCCGACATTCTTGTCTGACTCCATCCTCAGCTTTAAAGTCAATTAACTAGATCATACATTACAAAAGCTGAGAGCTCAAGAGAGTTGAATGAATGGTTACACAATTTTAAGGTCTGGATGTCAAAAGGTCAGTTTCTTACTGTCCATGAGTGTGCAGAGATTTTTGTTTGTAAAAGGTTACACATAACCGATTATTTGGTATCACACACAGTGAATTTCATCAAACAACTGCTCTTTCTAAAAAGGTTTTTAAATGGTGAATAACTTGTTACCTCTACTATCTTTCTGGCAATGAATTAATAAAAAGTTATTTATTAAAACAGCTGGAATCTATTTTTAGAAACTTTTGGAATTTCAAAAATGAATCTTAATATGAAATAACTGACATTAACATTCATTTTATACATGTGTTTAAACTGTACATTCTGGTGGTCAGTATGTAATTTTTTATCTCTGGTCTTTGGTGCAAAGTCATCTTACAAAAAACTGAGATTTTCATTGTTTTCTACAAAACCTTTAACACAAACCTCAGCACATTTTTCACCACTTTAATCCAGCTGAGAAGTAGAGCAAGCAGTCGAGATCAGGATATGAGTCGGTTTACAAAATCATATTAATTTCTTCCACATAAACTGTCACACTTACAGTAGAATTATTCTCAGAGTCATTTTTTCTTATCAAAGCTCTTTGTGAGTGGATTAGGTGTACAATTATGCATGGCATTAGGCCATGGTTATGATTGGTGGACTGTATTTTCTTTTTTTTTTGCTACACTGCAGTCCGTTCAATGGGAAGGTAAATCAGCTGCCTCCATCATTGCCTTGTGTCATAAACTGTGGCCAAACAAAAAAAACACACACATAATGAAGCCGATATAAAACAATAAATGTAAATGTAAATATTGCCTTTTTTGACAGACGTGGGGCTAAAAACTAAATATCATACATTAAAATCCCCAGTATGACACAAACGTACTCTCTAGCCCCCATCTGCTCAGCTGCTCACTGTTTTGAATAAATGTGCAGTGGCCTGGTGTAAATGTGAGATTTTGAAGCAATGCATTGATTTAAATGTGTGAAATTTGTTTTATAGGATTAAATGCATCTGCATATACATGTATGTGACAGCTGCCTCTCCATTCCCAGACCTCAAAAACATTTCTTTATTAGCTCATGTTCAAGTGAGACATTTTATTATGTGGCAAAAGGTATGGGCCAGTAACTATGTCCATTTACTCAAGTACTGCACTTTACTCAAGTAGTTTGCAGGTACTTGAACTCTGCTTAATGCTAGTTAATTGTTCTATCCCGCTACATTTCAGATGGAAATATTGTACTTTTTACTCCACCACTTATTTGACAGCTATAGCTACAAGTTACTTTGCAGATTAATATCATCATAAAACATCATCATCTTATACAACATGATGCATTGTTAAAATTAAACCACCCCACAGCAACAGTGGGAAGAAAGTACTAAGTACATTTACTCAAGTACTGTACTAAGTAGTTACTTTTCAGAATATAATAGTACAGACAAACCATATAATCAGTTATTAAAATATTATGTGTTACTAAATATGTAAAGTGATTAAAATTAGCTCCACCTCAACAAGCTACAACAGTAATGTAGGTAGTTCCAATATTATGAAAATAAAACACTGATAGAGCACACAAAATGAATGTATTTGTAAGTATCAAATGTAAAAGTACTCATACTTTTACTTTTGATACTTACAAATACATTCATTTTGTTGCTAAACTTTCACTAAAGTAACATTTGAATGGGGGAATTTTACTTGCAATGAAGTATTTTTAAAGAGAGGTATTGCCAAGTAAATTTTCTAAATACTTCTTCTACCACTGCCAAAAAGGCTATATACAATACTTAAAGATCCCCTCCAGACATGTTTTAAGACATATAAAAATACTCTGCTTGAACAGTCATGTGTGGCAATAAAACATCAAATTGCCCGCTTAAGAATTCTTAAAATTGTAAAAATCCAAAAGACGAATATGCAAGGGCCCATTGTTTATGTCAAGACTGGACACAAGATGTCTTCTACTTCTCTATTTCAAGGTTCAATTAACATGCAAAATGGGCTGCACCAACAAGATAAACATTCTGCTTATATATTAATAATCTCTAATAATAATACAATACTAGCCTATAAAACATAATGCACATTGAATAGTCTCCATAACAAGTAGCCTAGACTACTTCTATTATTTTATTTTTTTTCAAGTAGCCTAAATTTTTGCTGCCAAAACTTAATCACTTCACATCTGAATTCAGGACTTTAACTTGATTTTTTTTTTTTTTTTTT